AGGTTCCACTAACAACCCCCCCCCCCCAGGCTCTCCCCCTTTCTTCTACCCACTGCCTTGATGCACACCTGCTAAGTGCCGGGGACAGCTGAGTCCCCTGGGCCGAGAAGAGAGCTCAGTACCTAGTAGGAGACTTGGTGACACACAGCTCCCAACCCTAGTGGGCCCCAGCACACAGTAGGTGCTCAAAAGATGAATAGATGAAACCCGGGGGAAAGCAGCAAGGCCAGACTGATCCATGCCATGGTATTTTGGGCAGCACAGAGAAGGGTGACTGGGCCCCTCGTTTGTTCTCATGAGCTAGAACAAGCTGGTTCAGACGGTGGTGAGGGCTACAGCTGTGTGGCCTTTGTGCATTGACTGACTATGGTTAAACGTGTGGGGAGGGGGCGGGGGGCGGTTAGTAGTTGTGAGGAGTAAGAGAAATGTGTGAAAGGTGAAGATTAGTGCAAGGCCCCTGGTAAACAGGAGTGGTTTCTCGCCCCCACTGCACTCTAACCTCTGAGTGGCAATGGGTTGCCCTGGTCTGTGCCACACCCAGCGGAGCTTGGCAAATCTCACTCCCCAGAGCAGCCAGCAGCAGCTGCGGGGCCCTGGGCAGGTCTTGTCTGTCTCCAGCCTTCGTTTCCTCACCTATAAAATGGGGGTTATTTCCCACACCTGGGCCATTTGGGGTGGAAGATTCCCGCCCCCGCGGGTCCCCTAGGAAGCACATTTCTAGGAGAGGCCAGGGAGGAAGGGGCGCACATGCTGGGCCTCCTCAGAGCCACACCCAATCTCCGGTTCTCCTGAGTCACTCAAGTGGCCACCCAGAAACCGCATTGGAAATCTGGCTGTGGGAGGGCGCCCTCTGCTGGACATTGGAGAAAGTGTCTCCTCAACTGCCTTTCTCTGGCCCTGAGAGTTCACTCGCATTGATTCTCCCTAAACTGGCTGAACACCAACAATACACCAGAACTGGGACCACAGGGAGCCAGAGGAAAGCCCTGGGACAGATAAGCAGAGAGATCGACACATATTGGAGGAAGGAAACGGCTGGGGTCTGACCTGTGTTCAAACCCCAGCTCCATCACCGTTTGCCCTCAGATCAGTTACTGAACTTCTCTGAACCTGTTTCCTCATCTGTCAAATTGCATTTATACTAGTATCTGCCCTACGGGGTTGTTGCAAGAATTTGCTGAGGTAATGTACAGAACGTATGGTGTGTGGCACATAGTAAGGGCTCTCTGTAAGTGTTGGTTTCCTTCACCTCTTTTTTAAAAATATATTTTATTGATTTTTTACAGAGAGGAAGGGAGAGGGATAGAGACCTAGAAACACAGATGAGAAACATCGACTAGCTCCCTCCTGCATGCCCCCCACTGGGGATGTGCCGCAACCAAGGCAAATGCCCTTCACTGGAATCGAACCCGGGACCCTTCAGTCCGCAGACCGACACTCTATCCACTGAGCCAAACCCATTAGGTCTTTCACCTCTTTTTTTATTTTTATTTTTTATTTATTTTTTTATTTCATTGATTTTTTACAGAAAGGGAGAGGGATAGAGAGCTAGAAACATCGACGAGAGAGAAGCATCGGCCAGCTGCCTCTTGCACACCCCCTACTGGGGGATGTGCCCGCAACCAAGGTACATGCCCTTGACCGGAATCAAACCCAGGACCTTTCAGTTCGCAAGCTGACGCTCTATCCACTGAGCCAAACCGGTCTCGGCTCATCTCTTTAAAAAAAAAAAAAAAAAAAAAAAAAACAGCCGGGACCGGTTTGGCTCAGTGGATAGAGCGTCGGCCTGCGGACTGAAAGATCCTGGGTTCGATTCCGGGCAAGGGCATGTACCTTGGTTGCGGGCACACCCTCAGTAGGGGGTGTGCAAGAGGCAGCTGATTGATGATTCTCTCTCGTCGATGTTTCTAACTCTCTATCCCTCTCTTTTCCTCTCTGTGAAAAATCAATAAAATATATTAAAAAATAATAATAAAAAAAAATTTAAAAACACACACACACACACACAAAAAATTTGTATGAGTTTCAGAAAGGAAGGGAGAGGGAGAGAGAGAGAGAGAGATAGAAACATCAATGATGAGAGAGAATCATTAATTGGCTGCCTCCTGCACGAAACCCAGGCATGTGCCCCTGACCAGATTCACCTCTTTTAAGACTCATTGTGTATTAAGAGCCTATGAAACTCGGCCCAGAAAAATTAAGTAGACCTCCGCCCTTAGACCACCTGGCGCCACCCTCAGCGCTTGCTCTCCTTGCCTTGGGCACGTGACTGTATCTCTCTGGGCCTCAATAGAGTGAGGCTCATGCCTCAAAAGAGATAATCGTGTAAAGAGTTAAATAAATAGCAAAATTCCTTTTGCTCCTTATCTTCATCAGCACTTCTATTGATAGAATGTGCCATCTCTTGCTATGCCTGGCGCACAACGGGTGCTCAAGAAACATCAGCATTTCAAAAATAATCCCCAGAAGGTGGTGGGTGTTTAGACCGTGAGCTGCAGTAAAAGGCTCTCAAGTTTTTGGAATCTGGGTGGCATTGCCAGCCCCTCGTTTCCTGAGCTGGGGCAGGAGGGCCTGACGCGCCCTAGGAAGAGTTTGGAGCAAAAGCGCCTGCCGGAGAGGGCGGACTTCACTCTGCATCGGGAGCTCTGGTGGATGAGGCCTCGCTGAGCCCCCCGTGGGCCGGCAGCTCAGGCTGGGTGGGCTGCAAAGGCCAACTGCACAGTCCCCACACGAGGGCCCACACAGAGTAACCCGGACAAGTCACTTCCCTCTCTGAGATAATACTGTAGTGTCGTTCCCTTCTCTCTTTAAAAAAAATTTTTTTTTATTGATTTCAGAGAGGAAGGGAGAGGGAGAGAGAGAGAAACATCAATGATGAGAGAGAACCATTGATCAGTTGCCTCCTGCACAACCCAGACTGGGGATTGACCTGCAACCTGGCCACGTGTCCTGACTGATGGGAATTGAACCGTGACCTCCTGATCACAGGTCAAAGCTCAACCACTGAGCCAGGCTGGCCAGGCTGGCCCGGCTCCTTCCCTTCTCTATGTGCCTGGCATTCAACCGGCACACAGCTTACTTGCTCTCTGGGACCCATTCACCGATTAAAGGAAAAGGATGGGTCCTAAGAGTCTTTTAATGACTCTGATATCCCCCCTCTCAGCTTTCCTGGCCTCATCACCTCTGGGAAACACTCCACACTCTGAGCTCCTGCAGTCTGTAGGACTACCCAGCACAGATGCGTTGAGAATGGAGTGCTGCCCTAAGAATTAAAGGGGCCTTTCAACCGAGACCGGTTTGGCTCAATGGATAGAGCGTCGGCTTGGGGACTGAAGGGTCCCGGGTTCGATTCCGGTCAAGGGCATGTACCTTGGTTGCGAGCATATCCCCAGTAGGGGGTGTGGAAGAGGCAGCTGGTCGATGACTCTCTCTCATCGATGTTTCTAGCTCTCTATCCCTCTCCCTTCCTCTCTGTACAAAATCAATAAAATATATTTTTTAAAAAATAAATAAATAAATAAAGGGGCCTTTCAAAGTGAAAGGCAAACAAGCATTTACCTGAGACCAGTAGTAGATAGTTATTAAGGAACCATTAATCCAGGCAAAAGCCCAAACAATATCCTGATTAGGAGACAAAGGCAAGTGGTATTCATGAGACAGGGAAGAGGGTCAATCATATCATAGAAGGAAGGCATTTCTATTGGTGCAAATAACAACTTAGTGATGTGAATGCTAAACAATGTTTAAAATCTTCCATCTAGTAGTCATCATTCCATTAGTCACCATAACGGCTTTCTTATGATCTCTGCCAACAGTTCTTAGGGAAACGAGGTGGCTGAGGCCCTGTCCAGAGGTTCCTTTGCCCCGTTTTTTACTTTCCACAAAATTCGAGGCATAAGGCAGTTCCTCTGGGACGGCAGCTCTGGCTCCATTTTCATGTGGCTCCGTTCATATTATTGTTTACAGGGAGACTGAGGCATGTAATCCAGTTACTAAAATTCCCCTTCAGCTGTTGTTTTAGTGAAATTGCTCTAACCACCGTGCCTTCATTTTCAGTAGAGGGTTAGTTATGACACCCCTACTCTATACTTGAGGAAACTGAGGCATAGAGAGGGGAGACAGCTTGTATATTATAGTAAACGTGTGGCATGATTATGTTACACACATGTTACATAACTCATTTAGTCCTCACAATCATGTTCTCAAAGTGTGGTCCGTGGACCAGCAACATCAGCTGGTGAAGTGTTAGAAATGCAAATTCTGGGGTCACTCCTGACCCGCTGAATCAGAAACTCTGGAGTGGGGCAAGGGATCTGGGTTTCAGCCCCGCCCCCCCCCCCCCCCCCCGAGATTCTGGTGCACACCAAAGTTGGAAAACCACCGCCTGACAATAACACTACAAAGTTCGCTATAATTATCCCCATTTTACAAACGGCAATTCAGGCACAGCAAAGGCAACTGGGATACCAGATTGTTGTAATTGGGATACCAGATTTCTAATCCAGCTAGTTTACGTCCAGAAACGTGATCTTGGAGAGCAAGTGAACATCAGAATCAAAAACAGGATCAGGCCCGGCTGGTGTGGCTCAATGGATGAGCATTCACCCATGAACCAGGTTTGATTCTTGGTCACGGCACATGTCTGGGTTGCGGGCTCTATCCCCACTAGGGGGCGTGCAGGAGGCAGCCGATCAATGAGTCCCATCATTGGTGTTTCTATCTCTCCCTCTCCCTTCCTCTCTGAAATCAATTAAAAAATATAAAAATAAATAAAAACACTAAAAGAAAAAAAAAAAGTAGGATCAGCAATCTTTGGTCATTCACTAATATCTCCATAATGAGCACCTACTCTGTAACTAAACGTACTTGTCTAGAAGGAATGGGGCTGGGAGTCGCCGGGCAGATTTCGGCTGGTTACACCCAGAAGGGAGGAGCACGCCTGGGGCGGTCCCTTTAAAAAAACCAACTTCGGCGAACGGAACCGCGGAGCGTCGTCACGAGGCGCGCCCGGAAGGCTGAGGGCGCTACACCGGAAGTGTCTCCGGGAGCGGGAGCCGCACCGTCCGGGCCTCACAGTGATGGGTCGCAACAAGAAGAAGAAGAAGCGAGACGGCGACAACCGGCGTCCGCGGCTCGTTCTCAGCTTCGACGAGGAGAAGCGGCGGTGAGTGCTAAGCTGGTCCGCACCCCCTCCGGGTGCCGGGCAAGGCTTGCGCCCCCGGCGCCGCGCACGCTCACGCCCAGGCCCTTCCGGCCCCGCCCCGCGGCGTGCTCCGCGGCCCCCGGGACGCTCGGAGCCGCTCGCCCCGCCCTCCCCTCGCTCTTCTCCGCACCCCAAACCACCCCGCTTCTTCTGTGTGCGGGGCCCGAGAGCCGGGAGTTCGGGTCTCAGAGCTACGGCTTCGACCTCCCTAGCCCAGCCGGCCGCCCCGTGTGCAGTGCTCTCAGATGTTGACCCAGACGTTTACTCCCACGGATAGTCCCGATTTCCAACAATTTTTTTCCCGCGACCCGCGGCGTTTTAAAAAAAATCCCGATTCGTTAAAAATCGGGACTTTTTTAAAAACGCCGCGGGACGCGGGAAAAATTGTTGGAAATTGGGACTGTCCGTAGGAGTAAATGTCTGGGTCACGCTTTTGGCGGGACGATCTGGTCGCCTTATCCTACATGTGTGTGCCACTTTAGCGTGGGGTAGTGGGTCATCGCAAAACCTAGTGTCGGGGCCCGAATAGTTGGGAATGGTGCAGTCAGTGCTACAGAGCCGAGGAGGGCCTGAGATCAGATAGATGGAGGGAGAGGAAGGCCGGGGTACCCACAGGCCCTACACAGATGGATGGGTCCAAGGAACTACTGCCCTGGAAATGCGGTGTCGGTCCAGCAGAGTGTAGAGGTCTGAGTAAGGGAAGTCCTGCTAGAAGTGGTTTAATTCACTGGGAAATGGGATGGGGCCCCACCTACTTAGGTTCAAAGGCTCACAACCTACGTGCATCACCAGTCTCTTGAATCTGAAAGCCCAGGAGGTTAGTGGGTAGAAAGAGGCACCATCTCCCTCTTTTAATTTTTAAAAAAATATATTTTATTGGGTTTTATACAAAGAGGAAGGGAGAGGGACAGAGTTAGAAACATCATCAACTTGCTGCCTGCCCCTTGCACACTCCCCACCTGGTATGTGCCCGCAACCAAGGCACATGCCCTTGACTGGAATCGAACCCGGGACTTTTCAGTCTGCAGGCCGACACTATCCACTGAGCCAAACCGGTTAGGGCTCTTTTTCATACCTTACACTCTGTGACCTTGGGCAAGTAACCTAGTCTCTGTGCCTCAGTGACCCCATCTGTAAGATGGATTGGTACCCACTACACAGGTAGTTGTGAGGATTGCATGAGTTAACAAGTTCATTTTTGGACTGGTGCAAGGTAGCTGTTTTTGGAGTGAGCCTTTCTTTCCTTGTATCTCCTGACTCTCCCCGGCCTCTTTCCTGTAGGGAGTACCTGACAGGCTTCCACAAGCGGAAGGTGGAGCGAAAGAAGGCAGCCATCGAGGAGATCAAGCAGCGGCTCAAGAAGGAGCAGAAGAAGCTCCGGGAGGAGGTGCAAAGGGGAGGGCGGGAGAGTCTCTCACCCCAGGGTCCCGCAGCCTTGGATGGCCTGAATGGGGCATCTACAGGGATGAGAGGGGGAGTGAGCTGGCCTGGGAAGCAGTTTGTATAGGAAGAGACGCCGTGGGCCCAGGTCTGGGGAAGGTTTAGGATGGGATGTCCTGGTCTTTCACACACTCACCCTGCAGGTGAGCAATGCCCCGCCTGAGGTGGGGCTGAACAGACATCGTACTCACTGTGTCCCCTTCCCTTTTGGTTTCAGCGCCACCAAGAATACCTGAAAATGCTGGCCGAGAGAGAGGAGGCACTGGGTAAGCCCACCCTTGGCCTGACCTGGAGACTAGCCAACAGGCCTGGGTTTATTAATCCCTCGATGGGTGGGAGAATAGGGGTGTAAGGGTTGCTCAGAAGCTGACTTCCTTAATTCTGAGGGTCTCGGTGATGACCCCAGGATCCTTGGGTACCTCAATGTGAGTGGCTCAGAGACAAGGAGGAGACCCAACCTCTTGGTAAACCCATTCTGAGCAGACAGCCCAGTGTCTGAGACCTGGAGGGACTGGGGATAGAGGGAAAGGACAGCAGCAGCTCCTGGTGTCACACTGGGCTTGTCCTAGTTGGGAACCAGGTGGTCTGGGGGTTTCCTGGAACACAAAAGAAGGAATTGGATAATTTTATAGCATTTGTTGGCAGGCCAAGCTCGAGCAGTGACCTCCTGGATCCTCTCCCATAGAGTAGAGGGGCCATTGCACTCCAGGGCTGGGAGGGGCTGGGACCTGGTTACTTATGCTCTAGTGTTGAGGCCCACTTCTGTGCTCACCCTGCACAGAGGAGGCGGACGAACTGGACCGGCTGGTGACGGCAAAGACAGAGTCCGTGCAGTATGACCACCCCAACCACACAGTCACCGTGACCACCATCAGTGACCTGGACCTCTCGGGGGCCCGGCTGCTCGGATTGCCCCCGCCTGGTGTGAGTGTCACTCCCTGCCCGGGTCCATGTCACGGAGATTCCAGCGCAAAGGGTTCTTTCTCTTCCGGGCCTAGACACAGTCCTGGAGTCGGGGCTTCAGAGGCCAACTCCACCACTGAGCGGCTTCTCTTTGCTTTGCCTCTTCCTCTCGTCAGTAAATTGAGGTTCGCTAATGGCAGCACCTGCCTTGTGGGATTTCTGTGAGGTTAAGAGTGGTGAACCCACGAGAAGCACTTAAGGTAGCTGTTTACTGTATTGCATGGTAAGCAGCAATAATAACACGGCACATCTGTGAGCGCTGACTGAGTTTTCAACCTTTGGGGGGTGAGTTATTAGGAGGTTTCTAACAGCACTGAAAGAATGAGGGAGAGGGAGAGAGAGAGAGGGAGGGGGGAGAGGAGATAAAGAGAGAAATAAAGGAAGAAGTAGCCCTGGCCGGTGTGGCTCAGTTGGTTGCAGCGTTGTTCCTTACACCAAAAGGTTGCCGTTTGATTCCAGGTCGAGGCGCATACCTAGGTTGCAGGTTTGTTCTCAGTCGGGCAACCAGCTGATGTTTCTCGCATTGGTGTCTCTCTCTCTCTCTTGCCCATCCTCTTTAAAATCAATAGACACATCCTTGGGTGAGAATTAAAAAAAGCAAAAGCCCTAGCTGGTTTGGCTCAGTGGATAGAGCATCAGCCTGCGGACTGAAGGGTCCCAGGTTCGATTTCTGCCAAGGGCACATGCCTGGGTTTTGGGCTTGATCCCCAGTAGGGGGCATGCAAGAGGCAGCTGATCAATGATTCTGTCATCATTGATGTTTCTGTCACTCTCTCCCTCTTCCTTCCTCTCTAAAATCAATAAAACATATTGAAAGAAAGAAAGAAAGAATAGAATTATCATTAAATATCAGAAAGCATCTCAGTAAGTTAGTTTCAGTTAGAATTTGTCTGTCCAGGTTGTGTGGGAATTTGCATACACATATGTACAGTCACAAGCTAAAGCACATTTTCTATCATGGGTTACAGTGTGCTGAAGTCCTGGAGCCACTGCCTTACCACGTCTTATTTTATTACCCACCTTACATTTTGTGCTCCATCTTCTGAAAGGTCCAGTGCAAAGACAAGTTTTGTCCCCGTTTTAGAGTTCTTCCATCTGTGAGTATTGTGTGCCCCCTGGAAACTGAGGCAGCGGAGAACTCTGAAATACAGCTCTCCCTTGTGTGATTCCTGCCCCGGGGCATGCAGAGCCTTCCCTGAGTCCCAGCCCAGGTCTGGGATGTGGCGGATCTTGCCCCCACTTGATAGAGCCATGATTGCTTGTCCTTCCAGTCCACCGCTCTCTGTGACAGTCTTTGTCCTGCGCTTCTTTAGCAAGGGGCCGGGCCTGGGCCTGAGGAGGTGTCATCGATGGAGAAGCCGACCAAAGCCTTACCCAGGAAGTCCAGAGAGCCCCTGCTGTCCCAGCGGTGAGCTGGCCTGTCCTCCCTATGAGCCTGCTCTGCATGGCTGCCCTGGTGACCTGCCTGCAGAGCCACCGCCCGCTGCCTTGCGGGGAGTGCTGTGGGTGGGGCAGGTATGAGGCCTCAAGTGGTCCTCAGCTTCTCCTCATTGTCCCCCATTCCCACCCCAAGAATGGCCGAACCTGGAAGCCCTTCGTACTTTCTGAGCTAAGGAGCTGGCTGGCCCTTTGCGGTCAGAGCAGGCTGCCTTTGGAATGGACTTGGTGCTTCCGGTATTGTGGGCTTGTCCTAACTTCCCCTTAGTGAGCTGGGTTGTCAGTCAACCTCACCACAACCTTTCACTATGCCCTGTTCCCCTAGTAAACACCACCTTTCACTATGCCCTGTTCCCCTAGCCTCACTAGCTTCCCGCTCTCCCGCAGGATCTCCTCCCTCACAGCATCGCTGCACGCACACAGTCGCAAAAAGGTGAAGAAGAAACATCCTCGACGAGCCCAGGACTCCACCAAGAAGCCCCCGAGTGCTACTCGGACCAGCAAGACCCAGCGCCGCCGGCTGACCGGCAAAGCCCGGCACAGCGGCGAGTGAGCCCGAGAGCCAGGCCAGGCCCCAGCCTCGGCTGCAAGGATCGGTCCCGCCTCTGCTTGGCTGTCCCTGTAACCCAGCCTGCGCTGACACCGGGGGCTGTTACCCCAGAAGAAGCAGGCATGAGAACTGGCCTCCCTCAGGAGGAACCTTCTGAGCCACATTTGGAGCACCTTCCTAAATGTATACACCACTGGGCCTCCCTCAGGTTTTTCAAACTAAGTGCACTGTGGTTTGTCCTTGGCCCCAATGCCATGCACCAAGGGTAGGCTTCCGGGTGGTGGGCGTGGTCGGAGAGTTGGGTCCATCCTCACCCTCCAGCACTTTCTCCTGTGGGTGTGGGTGTGGGTGTGAAGAGGCAGCATCAGGCCTAGGCCCCCTCAGCCAGGCTGCAGACCAGCATAACCGCTGGTGGAACCCAGAGTCCACCTGCTGCCCTCTACCAGCTGAGACTAGCAGTCTGTCCCTTCTCCTTGGTCTTCTTCGTCTCCTCAGTGGAAATTGAAATGGTGGAAGCAGATGACTTCTTGGAGCATCCCCCACCCCCAAACAGGCAGCTCTCAGGTGCTAGGAGTGAATAACTTTTTTTTTTTTTTTTAATATATTTTATTGATTTTTTACAGAGAGGAAGAGAGAGAGATAGAGAGCTAGAAACATCGATGAGAGAGAATCATCGATCAGCTGCCTCTTGCACATCCCCTACTGGGAATGTGTCCGCAACCAAGGTACATGCCCTTGACCGGAATCGAACCTGGGACCTTTCAGTCCGCAGACTGACACTCTATCCATTGCGCCAAACTGGTTTCGGCTGAATAACCTTTTTAATGGAAATGCATCTTGTCTGAAAGTGTGCCCCTTTCTGAGCACACCCCTCGGGAGTCCGGCTGGTGTGCGGGTCTTCACACTCCTTCCAGGCCTTCAGATTTGGCTTCCGAGCTGCTGAAAACCACCCTTGTCCCTGCTTGTTAGTGACCCCCACATACTCGCTGTCCCCTGACCAAGAAGGTGGAGCACAACCGGAGCATGTTCTGGAGCATCATTGACTCCCCGCTTGCCACTCACTGGTCCCTGTGATTCTGAGCAGGACACGGGTTTTGGGTTTACCCTGGTCAGGGCCCTATCACTAGGACTGAAAGGGCGTAGATGTGCTCTCATCCCCAGTGAAGTTCATGGCTAGTGAGAGATGATCATGGTGACAGGAGAGTGCTGTGATGGGAGCACAGATGCAGAGTCTGGCCTTGAGATATAGGAGACGCCTGGAGGAGAGGGAGTTGAAGTCTGGGGGGCAGGCCTTCCCCCCACTCATCCCAGGAAAGGCACTCCAGGAGCAGCCCCACCACACCAGGAGGCAGGCTCAGGAACTGGCTCTGTTAGGCTGCACCTGGGGGTGGGCAGGTGCTTTCCCATGTCGCCATCACCACCTATCTGGTGATATCTGATGCAGTTCTGAAGGCCACGCCTGGGCATGGGAACGCACAGCTCAGGGCTTCTGGCCAGGAGGCCTCGTGACCTGCTGCTCAGCTCCTTCCACCAGCTCCTCTTGTCTTCTGGTTGTCCGCTCCTGTGCTTGGGCCAGGTGACTCAATCCCATTCGGTTGCCTCCGTCCAGGGCAGAGCCTGCTACCAGGCTCAAGTCATTTCTGGTGCTCAACCCAAGATAGCCCACTGTGACCCTAGCCCCAGAAAAGGCTAGGCCTGGGGCATCTGCACAGCAGAGTGGGTTTGAATCTGGGCGCTCCCACGTGACCATTGTCTGAGCTCCTCACTCTGCTAACCTCCCCGGGTCTGTTCCCACGTAGGAAGATATGAGATACCGACCTAGTGCTGCCCCTGAGGCTAAAATGAGACCCTGCCTATGAACCGGTTCTCAGCACAGCACAGTGTTCTCCGGTGCGCCTGCAGTGCGTGTGCAGTTGCTGACTGCTGAGACATCTGACATGGGCCTCTTCCCATCCCCAGTGATATGGGGTCATGTGTAATTTATAGCTACAATTTGTAAAGTTTGTTAATATTCTTATCACTCCTATGTGTGCCACTAGTTCTTCCAGGAGAACAAGGACATTGAGGCATGTGGCTTTGCTAGTCCTAGTATCAGCAGTGGTGCAATCAGAACCCTCTGGAGAACTTGTCTTATTCTAGGAGCTCCTCTCTCCATGCTTATCTTTGGTTCTTTACCCCCATCTCATGGGCCCTGTGGGTTGAAGCCTCTAGCAGCTTTATCAAGTCATGAGTCCCTAAGGGGTCAGTAAAAGCAAGATGGCCGCTTTGAAAAGCAAGATGGCCGCTTTGCAAGGTAACCACGGGCTGGAGCCAGCCCTGATGACCCTTTTAGAGACTCGTGCCTTCCTGTCCCTGCTCCATTGGGCCACACTCTCCTGCATCTCTGGCTTGCCTGCCAAGAGCATGTGATTCTCCACCAGGCCTGTGGGCAAGGAGAGCTGGGATGACCATTTCCACTTGTCGGAGAGGAGGCTGAGGCTCGGGTATAGCAGGAACAGAACCTATCTGCTTCCCCAGATCTCTGAAGAGGGGTGTCCAGCCACATGAAATGGCATGAGCAAAGGTGGAGATAAACAGAATTCAGAGTAGAAAGGGGGATGTGAGGCTGGGACTAAATGGTGACGCTTCCTTGGCTGCCACCACTACACCCTGAGCCTGTGCCATCCCACAGAGGGGGCAGCCAGGCAGCTCCAGAACTGGGAAGAATGCTCAGGACGGCCCACCAACCTGCCCCCACTCTCCTCTCCACTCCAACCTCTGCATCTGTCCTCTCAGCTGAAAACTTACCCAGGTCCTGCATGCTCACTGCCCCATCTTCTCCAGGTCTTCGTTCAAATGTCACCTTCCTCAGTGCGGCCTTCCCTGACAGTACCAGCCACTCCCACCCTCTCCCTGCTTCTTTCTCCTTTGTGCTCATCACCAGCCGACACACTCCATAACTGCTTATTTATCTAGTTTGTGGTCTGTCTGTCTCCACTGAAGTATAAGCTCTACAAAAGCAGGAGATTTGATCTTTTGTTCACTGATCTGTCCTCAGTACACACAACTGACAAAAGTAGGGGCTTCATAAGTATGTAATGAATTTGTCAGGAGGGCCACTGATGGGTGGGAGCTATAGGGCTGGCATCATATCCTGAGCTTCAAACTCAAACTGAGTGCCCACCTTACTCCCCACGTAGGCTCAGAGAGGTCAAGGAACTTTCTCAAGATCCCACAGCCAGGGAGTGCTAGAGCCAGATATTGAGCACAAGTCTCACTATTTCCGGTTTTGCTTATCATAATTGGGACCAAGCAGAAAGCATATTATTCTTGTTATGAAGCTGTATCTTCGCCTGTTCCTTGCTGGGCCAGAGTGACCAGTTCAGAGTCTGTCTCTCCCACTGGTCAGTGGGCTCCTCATCTCAGAAGGAGCCACATTGTGTTCATGTTACCATCTCCCCGGTACCCAGCTCAGCATGCCATGCCGGTACATGGGAATGTCTGACTGATTGTGAGGACACTGTGGACGAAGGTAGAGGCAGACATCCAGGGTGTTAGTCGTGCCCCTGCCTCTTACTAGCTGTGTGACACTGGGAAGTTAGGTATTTCTCTGATCCTCAGTTGCTATGAAATGAAGATCTTTGTACTTAATCCTTCACATTGTTATGTCTTCATAATTGTGGAGATTTGGAGCAGGAGTTGCCACAGAATGCAGAATAAATGTTAGCCTTTTACTAGTAAAAAGTGTTTTTATTAATTTTAGAGATAGAGGAAAGAGAGAGACACACACACAGACACCTTTCGGACCAACTGAGCCACACTGGCTAGAGCAAAATGTTGGACTTTTTATTTTGTTAAATGTATTCTATTGATTTCAGAGAGGAAGAGAAAGGGAGATAGGAACATCAATGATGAGACAGGATCACTGATTGGCTGCAGGGGCAATCCAGCCCACAACTAGAGCATTTGCCCAGGACCCTTCAGTCCACAGGCTGATGCCTTAACTGCTGAGCCAAACCAGGTAGGGCGGAGATGTTAGACTTTTTAAAAGGGGAGAGCTGTGATTGGAGTGAACGTCGCATTCGTGGAAATGTGCAAATAGAGGTTGAAAACCCTTGGTTATTTAATTTTATTCTTACAGATAATATTACTACCCATAGTTTATAAATTAGAAAACTGAGGCATAGAAAAGTTAAGACTCTAGCCCAAGGTCTAGGCAGAAACCAGGCTGGCGGACTGTGACGGGAATGAACTAAAGGGAAAGAGCAGAAGGAGCCATGGAGGATCCAGACCTGGTTGCTCAGGCATAACGTGCAGTGGGTCCCGCGCTCAGAGGCATCTGGGCACCGCCCGCCTCCGCCCCGCCCCTTGCCCTCGGATTGTCCAATCGCACAGCCTTCATGTAAATAAAGAACCTAGAGAGAGCCTGTGAGAGAGCAGCAGAGGCGTGGTCTTCCCCCCTCCCGGCAATGTTCTGATTCATTGTTAAAATAAAGAGGCTGTGTGTGACCTCCCTCCCCAACCCTGGCACCCCCTTGTGCGTGGAAACTCGAGCCGAGGTCAGTTCTGCGCATTGGGAAGGGTGTGGGGGAGGAGGATAAGCGGGAAAAGGTAGAGGAGTGAGGGATATGGGGAGGGACTGGCTGAATGGGGAAAGGGGTCCATTCTCCGGGTGGGGCCTCGGTGTCCTCTGCAAGTTTTTCATTGTTATATCCGCATCTAACTTGCACTTCAGAGAAGAATTCTGCCAGTTGGTTGCGGGTGGGGAGGAGGAAGCGGGAGCAGTGAGGGAGGACGTGGAGTAGAGTGCTCTACACCTGCCTCCAGGGAAATGAGCAGCGGTCTCCATCCCAGAAGATACTCCTTTATGTGGTCAAACTGGGAAAGAACTGCGCCGGCTGGGTGGGACCAATTCACTCCTGGTCTACCGCTGGGAGCTGGGAGCAGTGATGCTGGGAGAAGAAAGAGCCCAGCGAGGATCAGAGACCCCACCAAGGGGTCAGTGGGTGCCCCCTCCTCCCCACAGATCGTGGCCTGCCGCCTCCCAGGTCTGATGATGGAGGAGCCAAGAACCTTCGCCCTGGCTGCCCCAGCAGAGGACATGGCATTCCCCAGCTCTGGGGTGAGATTGGCAAGGAAGGCCTGATCCCCCGGGATGCTGTGGAGGAAATTCTCCAGGTGAGGAGAGGTACCCTAAGGGGCAGGTGTGTTTGGGAATATGGATTCCTCTCGCCCTCACCCCCTCCTGGGGCTCTGTGTGGGTTAGGAGGGCATCTTCAAGTCACTCTCGCGTTGGGGCTCCCCACCTCTCCCCGCAGGGCATGCCAATGGAGCTCTCAGGGGCACAGAAGGGACAGGCACAGGCACAAGCTGGAACACTAGTGTTTCTCGTGGGCCAGGCTCTGCCACAAACTTGCTGTGTGACTTCAGGTTGTTCACTTTTGTTCACGACTTTGTCCTCAACTCTGAAAAGACCTGGCTGGCCTTTTGCCTCCCAGTGTTTCCCAAAGGACCTGTGTCATGATCCAGTGCCCCTCACTTCCACCTCCTTGTGTGTGTGTGTGTGGGTGGCGGCGGCGGGGAGGAGATACACAGACCTGGTTTTGAATCCAGTTCAGCCACTGGGGCCTTGCAAGTTATGGAACCTCTGTTAGCCTTCCTTGCTTCATCTGAAACTGACATTAATTTTATTTAGGGGTGAACGCAGGATAATTGTAAGGCAAGGGCACTCCAACTTTGGGGTGCCTGAGTGCCCTGGGAGACTTGTTTAAAATGCACACCCCTAGGGCTCTCCTCCAGAGAGATTTTCAGTAGGCGGATCTGGGGAGGGAACTGGGATACGCATTTTATAAGCAGCTATACTGAGTCCAGCAGGGTCCTCGGATCACACTTGGAGCAACACTGCAGTGATGACTAGGAAGCACGTGTCAGGTGCTTGGCAGAGTGCCTGGTGCTTAGGTGCTTAATGAGTGTTTGCTGAGTGAATAAATGAATAGATGACTACATAGATGAATAACCTTATTTCCTTGGTCTTTGTCCAGGGGCAAGCTGGGGCTGGGGTCCAGGTCCTACTAGCCAGTCACCTGGTTCTCGCCTCCCTGCTCCATTCTTCCCAGGCCTCACCAGTGGATTGCAGGCCTGACTCACCCAGGATGGAAGGGGAGGCTGGGAATGCCCCCAGCGAACACTATGAGGCCAGTGTGCTTGCCCAGAGCTGCTGTCACCACTGCTTCCACCCCGAGGGGGCCCACAGAGCAAGGCACCAGGTGGGCTGGCGTTCCTGAGTGGTCGGGTGGTTGGGATGGGGGAGTCCGTGACAGGCTGGGGCATGACTGAAACACTCACTTGCAATTGAACCCAGACACCGGCTCTCCTCCTGGGCAGAGCCTCAGTTTTCCCATCTGTTCGATGAAGTAGTGGGACCATGTGAATGTTTCCCCAATGCCAGTCACTCTCCCGACGTTATGGGTTTGTGTGTTGTTTTTTTTGCCATCGTCTCATGTAATCTATTACATGCCTTATTCTTTAAATCAACCCCCCTTTTCAACTTACACCAAAGCAGAACTTTACATCACCACCAGGTAGAAAGCGAGGATCATATCCTTTATATAAAAGGTTAGAAAGAAGGGAAGAGAAAGAGAAAAAACAGGAGTGTCTTTAAATTCTAACTAGAGAATTTGTTGGCCAAAGGTTCTGAACCCGAGTCCTGCTGTCGGTTAAAACGGGAGGCTGGGGGGAAAGGGGAAGATTGGTGGGTGTTAGAGCGGTTACAGATAGCCCAGCAGCCACGTCAAAGGTTCTCCTTGAAGGTGTTGAAGGAGTGAAACATTTTCTCACTCTGGGATCCGCATGGTCTTGGGCCAAGTCCCAGTACACGTAACCCCGGAGCTCCTGGCACAGACGCCATGAGAAGCGTGGGGCCGTGACTCTCCACGGGCCCTCCAGCCTTGGTCCATCATGGCCCTGGCTCCTCTGAAGCCTGGCAGCCAGCACCACGCAAAGTGACCCATAGCAGTGAGTCATTGTCCCGCTCTGGACCACACAGCCAGCGGTCCAGCGCCAGGTTTGCATTTCCCCGCCGTGTGACCTTGGGTCATTTACCCTCTGGCTTCACTCTCTTAAAGCAACAAGGCCTCTCACTCAGGGCATCTGGCACTGCTTAGCCTCAGTCACATGTGGCTAATTCAATACGCCTTCGTTTCCTCTCCCGCCTTCCCGATCAGGCAGACGGACCTGGGACATTCCTTTTTGCCCAACCTGATAGCTGTAGTAATAGCTCCCCTCCCGCCAAGTTCAGGGAACAGATGCCTGAAAGCTCGGTGAGTCCGTCTTCCATGCAGCTCGCCTCTCCCGGTGGGGGGGGAGATGGCAAGCCAGGAACAGAAAATTTTGATTTCGACAAGTTTGGGTTCTAGTGTTAGTCCCACCACTTCCCGGCTGAGATGGGCCACTTCACGTGTTCATACATGTTGAATGGGTGCTTAACGTGTGCCAGGCAGTATGCTAGATGTTGGGGAAACAGTGATTAACACAGACACAGTCCCTGGTTCATGGGGCTTGCAAACTAGCAGGAGAAATGGAAACTAACAAATCATGCAGAGAATGATGGTTGTGGTAAAGGTTGTAAGGAATAGCAAGTGGCATGAGGATGAATGATTGGTTTCTTCATGGAAATGACATTGCAGCTGCTGATCGGTAAAAGCTATGTGGGGACATTGGCCAGTGAAGTTGGAGGAAGAGGAGAGGAAGGGGACAGTGGGTGCAAAGGCCCTGAGGCAGAAAGGAGGAGGCACATTGGAGGATGGAGAAAGGCCACCGAGAGGGGGAGGCACAGGAATCCCAGGGCAGTGAGGTGGCGGCTGGTGTCCCAGTTTTTCTGGGGCCTCATAGACATGCTGACTTCCACCTTTTTCCTGAGAGGCCAGGCAGCCACTGAAGATTTTAAATGGGAGTGATGTGACCAGATTTGAATTTTCCAAAGTCACTTTGACTGCAGGACAGAGAATGGAGTGCAGGGAGTGAGAGTAAATCAAGGCGACCAGGGAGGAAAAGGTGTTACTCCTGTCAGAGATGATGGAGACTTCGAGATGGAGAGAAACGGACACATTGAACAGGGGAACCTGAAGGATTTGGTACCTGAGGAACGTGGAGGGGTGAAACATGGCTGACTTCTAAGCTATTTCCTGAGGCGGGTACTTGGGGTAGGAAATCCATCGGGAGTGGTGTGGGGTGCTGAGTGCGGTGCCTGTGCCCTCACTGTAGATGAGGGAAGGTCCTGAGTTATGGAGCTGAGGAGCCAGGCCTCATGGGAGATGAAGGCTCTGGGATCATCAGGATCTGACCCTGATGAAAGTCTTGCTCATGGATAAGCGGTTCAAACATGTAGAGTCACAAAGTCTGGGTTTAAGAAGCATCCCAAGCCTGGATGGGATTGTCTGGGGCCCAGCTGGAGCTCCAACCCTTCCCTGGGGGCCTGGGAAGTTATCGCTTGTGGGCGGAACTAGTTCTGACATCTTTACCTCCTTGGATAGGCAGGGTGGCCCAGGTCCCTCCCCGCAGCTTGTTCTGGCTCCTCCGGGATCCCAGCTCTGGATGTGCTTCTGCTCTGTTCTCAGCTGAGTCCCACAGGCCAGGGCAGGGCTTATCCCTGGAAATCACATGGCTTTGACCAGGTCATGGCCAGGTTTTGGATGGAGGGAGGGAGCCTTTGTGGGAGGGTCATGCTGTGTGCCAGGTACTTCACATCCCTTTTTAAAAATATATATATTTTATTGATTTTTTTTATAGAGAGGAAGAGAGAGGAGTAGAGAGTTAGAAACATCGATGAGAGAGAATCATTGATCAGCTGCCTCTTGCACACCTCCTACTGGGGATGTGCCCGCAACCAAGGTACGTGCCCTTGACTGGAATCAAACCTGGGACCTTTCAGTCCGCAGGCCGACGCTCTATCCACTGAGCCAAACCGGTTTCAGCCACATCCCTTTTTAATGTATTTATTCCTAAGTGTGTTTAACATTCTATCGATTCAACACTAATAAAATTCTATTTCATCTTTATACGTTACCTATTATATTTAAGATTAGACACTGTTCTAAGCCCCTTACAAATATTAACTCCTTTCATTCTCATAACACCCCTAGGAGGTGGGTCCTCTTATCATCCTGGTTTTATATATTTATAACCAGGCTCAGAGAGGGGAAGCCACAGGGCCGAGGTCACTAGCTGGGAAGTGGAGGTGCCAGGATTGGGCTTGATGTCTGTCTGAGGCCAGAGCCTGTGCTGACCCGCCAGACAGGAAATCAGAGCCAGGGACTGGCTGCTGGGCTGCTCAAGTGGGTGATGGGTATGATGGGGGCTGGGGGTGAGAGCAGGAAGGAGGTGCCATGACCGGCTGGGGTCTTATTGGGCTCAGCTGGGCTGGGACCCCTTGGCAATGCCCGGCAAGCTGCTCCCGCCTCATTCATGCTGCGAGGTCCCTGGGGTGGCCCAGGCGCCAGGCCGGGCTGTGGATCTGACACCTCCCGCTACGAGCTCTGATCAGAATCTGGCTCCAAGGCAGGGGGCGAAACTGAACCCAGACGGGCTCCTCTGGCTTGGATGGCATGGCAGACACCCTGGCCCCACTCCGTGGCCTTACCTAGGACCTGCCAGGGGCCACTTTCTTGGGACCCAGAGAGTCAGTGCCCACCTCGGGGTTGTGTCCAAGCTGTGGCCTCAGCCCTGAGCTCTGGGCTCCAGGGTCCCCAGGGAGCCCATGCCCAGGCCCCCGCCCTGCCAGCTCTCAGGTGAGCTGTGGGGATCAGGTTCCTGTGGTTTCATGTCCTGCATTGTTCTTGGCTGGGCCCCGGCTTATGAAACAGTAATGAGGGGCCCCTGCTCCCGCAGCCGGCCCCTCTAGGGTTTCTGCTGCCTGGGCCGCTGCTGCCACGGCCCAGAGTCGGGGCCTGGGAGGGCCGCAGCCTGGGGGCCGGAGCCGGAGCCCCCCGGGGACGAGGGTGCTGACAGCCGACAGCCGCCACCGCCGGAGCCCGCCATCCAGGTAACCCGAGAGGAGGCGGGTGCAGGGTGCCGAGGCCGCTGTCTCCCACCACCAGGGGAGGGCCTTGCCGCCCCAGGAGGTGGGGAGGAATGGGGGGGCCTTCCCAGAGGTGAGCAGCCGTTCCCCCTGGGTGAGCCCAACACCAGCCATCACAGGTGTGGCCTCGGGGAGGGCGGAGGGAGAGGGAAGCCAGCAGTCAGCTCCGGGCCTCCCTTCCACCCCGAGGGCCCCCTGCCCTCCATCAGTGGGGCAGATCTCTCCTATGAGGCCTTCTTTCCCATCTCCTCCCTCAGACAGCCTCTTCCTCCCTCCCTCTGCAGGCTGGTTTAACCCTTCTTCCTCACCCTCCTTCCTCCTCCTGTTCTAGCTGCAGAACGCTTGGTTCCTTCTGTGTACTTCATGTCCTCAGGCACACACACCTACATATGTGCCAACGTGTAAAGGAACTTGCATGCACTTACGCAAACATGCACTAGTATACCCCCCGGCCTTGCATACACATGCATGCACGTGTACACAGTTGCACATGCGCGCACACACACACACACACACCTGCACACACCTGTGCATACACACACTGTACCTCGGCCGGGATCCCCAGGGGCGCTCCCAGCCTGATGGACAGCTCTCCTGAGAAGTCTGAGATCCTAGGAGGAGATGCCTGGAGACTTCCACAACGCCTGGTGGGGGGAGGGGCCGAGCAGGGGGAGGGGAGCCCCCACGTGGGCCATGAGGTGCCTCCTCTCTGCAACTCTGTCTCAGGAGCCCGGGAGCCCTCCAGGTGCTGAGGCGCCCTACTGTGACCTGCCCCGCCGCCCGGCCGCCGCTGAGGACCCCCCCGGAGCCTCAGCCTCTGGGCGCCCGTCTGGGGCGGGCCTCAGCCTTGAGCCAGAGTCTGAGAGGTGGGTAGAGCTCCAGGGCCTAGGGAGGTGCTCCCTGGGGTAGCCCTCACTTACCCCACCCCACACCCCTTCACCATGGCAGCGTCCGTCTACAGTGGCCTCTGGCGTGGGTCACATGCGCACTCCATACAGCTGGGCACACGGGCATGTTCCTGGGGCCCTGGCTCAGCTCTGATCCAGGGTGCAGAGCACCCCCGCACCCACCCTGCTGTGGGCAGGGCTCACAGCCGCTCACATTTCCTCGCTCCCTTTGCACAGCTTTAAACAATTAAATAGGCTTATCCCCCACCCACCCACCTGCCTGTGCGCGGCCCCGGGCTCTGGGATTCCCTCCACCCCGTTCTGAGCTGCACTGAAGTCCCTTTGGGGCTGAGGGGCGCTGGGAGGGCATGGCTGAGGGTCTGGAAACCTGGGGTCCTGTTTCAGCGTCACCCCTGTTGGGCTGTGGGACCTTGGGCAAGTTATTCCCTTGTTCTGTGCCTCAGTTTCCCCAGTTGAAAAATAAGAAGAATTGAACTAAATCAGCATTGCTTTGGGAACATGTGTTCCTCACAGGTAGACATTTAAAAAAAAAAAAAAAAGCTCTGCCATCAAATAGTTTCAGAAAGTCTGGGATCCACAGAGGTGAATGTCTTTCTTGCAGGACTTGTCAAAGCCTTTAGTTTGCAGACGTGCATGGTACTTCTGAAGGGGGAGGTAGACGTGTGTAGTTCGTCCGAAAGTTATTTGACTGTGACTGCAGGCCTCTTTCTTGGGGGTAGGCACCCCTTTCCATCACTCTTTGGGGATACTGCCAGCTCTAAGCCTGCTAAGGCCCATGGCCACCCTCGCTGGCTTCCCCAAAGCAGGACTCTCTCGCAGCACCCTCCCTTGGCATCCAGACGGGTGCCCCTGTCACTGCCCCTGGTGTTCTGTTACCTCTCAGAGCCCCCATTAGCTCAGCACAGTTATGCCTGGGCTTCCTGAGCTTGGATTCCCACTGCGGCTCCAGTGACAGGGGGTCGGGGCTGGCACCACAGCCCTGGTTCACAGGATAGCTCTCCCCTTTTCTTGGCCACTCTGAGCCTCAGTGTCTTCATCTGTAAAATGGGAATCATTACACTCCTTTCAAAGAGGGGCCGTTGTAGCTAACCCAGGAAGACATAGAGAGCCTTCAGTGTCAGCTCCCTCTTCCCCTGCAATGTGAGGTGTGTGTGTACCTGGGTGGGGGTGCTACTTCTTAATTCCCGTTACCTTGGGGGAAAGTCACGTGTCTGTCTCCTCTCTCAGGGGCCCCGCAGCCGCCCCCAGGAGCAGCTGGGACTCCGAGGCAGTGCCCTATCTGGAGGGCCCGGCCTCCCCGCTGCGGAGCTTCGGCGAGGGCCCTGACTCTGGCACCAGCTCCAGCCCTGACTGCGACGCCCCTGATGATACCAGCAACTCGTCCTCTGTGGTGAGCTGGGGGCGGGAGGCTGAGGGCACAAGCAGATCACCCCTCTGTGCCAGCCCCAAACTCCCAGAGGAGAGCTGGGTCCCACACCAAGGACCTGGGCCAAGGGCCCCTGAAGGCCTAATGGGCACCTCAGGCTGCCAGACCACCCCTCCTGGGAGAGGTAGGGGCCGGTGGGGGAGGGCAGGGCTCTGCCTATGAAATAATGGAGGAAGGAGTTTCGGTTGATGGGCGCTCCATGTGAATCACCAATGGGCTCAGGTGGCCAAAAACTCTTGGGTCACAGGTCACAGAGGGCCAGGAGGCTGGGTATTTTGTCCAGAGCAAGGATGGGATTGGTCCTGGTCCTGCCTTGGTTATACACCACTGCACCCTATGAGCAGCCCTGGCGGAGGACAGAGGGAAGGGAGCAGGCTGGGGGTGACGGGGTGAAGGGGAGGGGGACACCTGGGCAAGGGCAGAGCTGAGAGAAGGGAATCGGGAACTTCCTGGGCATTCACCCCTCACAGGGCCACCCCAGGGTAGAAGAGGCAGACTGTGAGACCTCCAGGAGGAAGTGACAGGGAAGGATGAGGTGGCCAGCGTGGGCTAGGGAGGGCTTACCACCCTGCTTTATGGCCTTGTTTTGGGGCAAGAAAACTGAGGCTTGGATAAGGGAAGCAATTTAGTGGAAGCCATACATCCGGGCAATGGGAGGGCAAGGCTTTGAAACTACTCTCTGGATCCTGGGTTGTCTCTGGGGCGGGGGGCTGCTATGCCAAGGCCCTCCTACCACATGGCGTTCCCTGGGTTCAAGTCCCCTTCCACATAAACCATTTCCCAGCTGTGTGATTTCGGGCAAGTTCTTGGCTCCACAGACCGCCTACCTCAGGAGCTGATTGAAGATTAGTTGAGTTGACACCTGCAAAGAGCCCAGCGTAGTGCTGGGTATACAGTCGGTGCCCTTTCAATGCCAGGTCCTTTCCCTTCCTTCTACCTATCTCATGCTGCGGGTCTCTCTTCCTCCTCTCCCTCCCTGGCAGGACTGGGACATTGTCAGAAGGCGGGAGGAGGCCCCCGGCGGGGACAACAACGCCGAGATGATCCCTCGGAAGCTGCAGGAGGGGTCAAGAGCTGACAGCACCCAGAGGGCTCCGTCTGTCCTCGCCCGGTCGCCTGTGGGAGGAGACACTGCGAGCCAAAGAAAGGAAGGTGAGTCCTTCTGCCTGACCAGGCTGGTTCCTGTGGCTGTGGATGGAGTGATTGCTAGGGGCCCTCTGGGTCCCTGGGCAGGTCTCACTTTGCTGGCTCAAGTCTTCATAGAAACAGTCTCCTATAATTATGGAGCAGGCATGATGTCCACGCATCCTGATTTACGTACATTCTCCCACAGTTGGTGGGTTAGGATCTTCAGGTTGCAAGCGACAAACTAGCTGAGTAAAAAGCCTATGGGGATGCCGAAACCGGTTTGGCTCAGTGGTAGAGTGTCGGTCTGCGGACTGAAAGGTCCTGGGTTCGATTCCGGTCAAGGGCATGTACGTTGGTTGCGAGCACATCCCCAGTGGGGGGTGTGCAAGAGGCAGCTGGTCGATGTTTCTCTCTCATCGATGTTTCTAGCTCTCTACCTCTCTCCCTTCCTCTCTGTAAAATATCAATAAAATATATTTTTTAAAAAAGAAGAAAAAAAAAAGTCTATGGGGAGCCCGACCAGCGTGGCTCAGTGGTTGGGTGTTGACCTACAAATCAGGAAGTCCTATTTCAAGCCCCCGATTTTGGGCTTGATCCCCAGCGTGGGGCATGCATGAGGCAGCCGATAAATGATTCTCTCTCATCATTGATGTTTCTATCTCTCTCTCCCTCTCCCTTTCTCTCTAAAATCAATAAAAACATATATTTAAAAAAAAAAAAAAAAAAAAGTCTTGCCGAAACCGGTTTGGCTCAGCGGTAGAGCATCGGTCTGCGGACTGAAAGGCCCCGGGTTCAATTCCGGTCAAGGGCATGTACCTTGGTTGCGGGCACATCTCCAGTAGGGGGTGTGCAAGAGGCAGCTGGTCGATGTTTCTCTCTCATCCATGTTTCTAGCTCTCTATCTCTCTCCCTTCCTCTCTGTAATAAAATCAATAAAATATATATTAAAAAAAAAAAAAAGTCTAGGGGGAGATGGCTTCAGGCATAGCTGGATCCAGGTGCAAACAGGAGCAGAAATCAGGCCTCTGCTCCGCTGTCTTCTGTGGGGGCTTCCTTGTCAGCCAGACCCTCGCCCGTAGTGACATGATGAGCAGCAGCACTGCCAGGCTGTATCCTACCTGCTTACCAACTTCCACAAACAGAAGGTACAATCTTCCCAACAGATGCAGCTAAAGTCCTAGGAAGACTTTTCCAGGGGACCCAGCTTGGGTCATGTGCCCAATCAGGTGACCAGGGACAGGGTCAGCGCCCTGCACAAACCGCATGGTCTGAGAGTGGGGAAGGGGAGACGGCCCAGAGGAAATCAGGGTGGAGTTCCCAAGGGAAGCGGAAAGGCTGCTGGTCAGGCCACGTCCAGAGATGCACGTGACGCTGGCTCCCACAGCTCGGGCTCTCCCATCGCTATGGCACTGTGTCCCTCCTGATCTGCATTTCCCGCATCGTCCGGGTGTGGGGATATGGCCAGAGCATGCAGCCACTGCGGTGATAACTGATTCAGGCAGGAATCACCCGCTGATGCTAAATTCCCGGGTGAAAGGCTGTTGGGGAACAGGATATTCACACGATCTCAAAGTATCACCCCTCAGATTACACACCGATTACAGAGGGAAAAGGCACCTTTAGGATGGGAAGATCTGGCAGATCCCAGCGGGGGCAAAGTGGCGATAGGTGCCCCCATGTGGTGCCCGGAGGGGAGGGGGGACACACAGCATCCTTTCCCAGTCTTCTGGCTAAAAATGCACTGCCTGCATCTGCTCTGACCAAAATATCAGACAAACCCAAATTGAGGGACTGTTTGCAAATAATTGTCAGGACTCTTTAAAAATTTTTTAATTGAATTCTTTTAGATAGAGAGAGAGAGAGAGAGAGAGAGAAACTTCATTAGTTACCTCTCATATGCTCCCCAACCAATAGAACTTGAAACCTTTTGGCGCGTGGGGCGGCACTTCAGCCAGCTGAGCCACGCGGCCAGGGCTGACAGGGCGCTATGGAAGACGAAAAAGGAACTATTCCCGAATAAAAGAGGCTACAGAGACAGAGAAGCAAAGTGCCTTGTGGGATCCTGGATTGGAGCAAGGACAGAAGTTATAACTTTGGGAGATATTGCTGTGACCGCCAGGAAACTTGAACATGAAGTGTATGTTAGGTAATGTTCGGATCCATGCTGTATTTCCTGAGTGTGGTGACGGGAGGAGATGGTCCTTGCGCACAGGAGGCGCCTTAGGAGAGCATGAGGGGTCTACGGCCATACCACCCTGAACGTGCCCGATCTCGTCTGATCTCGGAAGCTAAGCAGGGTCGGGCCTGGTTAGTACTTGGATGGGAGGAGAGCATGAGGGCTGAAGTTTCATGAGGTCTTCAATTCCCACATGGTTCAGCAAGATAGAGGCCAGGAAGAGAGAGAGACACAGGTAGACGGAGGCAGGCAGGCAGATGGGTGAGTAAAGCAGAGGAGACAAACAGTTAGCAGCTGGTCCCTCTGGGGGAAGACTTGCTTTGTGGGTGGTGGACGCACTCCTGTAACCCCTCTGGAGCCCGTTGTGATTGTCCGGGAGGAGATGGAGAAGCCTGAATTAGGGCAGGCTGTGGGTGAGGAGGGGCAGAGAAGGAGAGAGGTTTAGGAGGCGGTCTTGCTGGGATTGGGGACAGGAGAATACACGGTCCCAGCTGCTGGTCTGGGTATCTGTGCAGATGGAGATGGCTTCCACTGACCATGGAGAACTGGGGAGGAGGTGCAAGCAGTGTGGGCTGAGGTGGGTCTAGAGCCGGGGAAGAGGTGTAGAGCCGGCTGCTCAGTGATGGGTCAGGACCATCCTCTGTTTACTCCTTTGCTGATGCCTCTCCCTCCGCTCGACCCTCAACTATGGATGCCCCAAAGCCCATTCCTGGGCTCCCTTCTCTCCTCTCTCTGACAACTTGACAACACCTGGCTTTCAATATTATCTGGAAAAATCGACATCTCCTGGGTTCACACCTCTGGCCTTGATTTCTCCCCTGACCTCTATCTAGTTCATTGTACAACTGACTTCTTCCCTGGGGTGTAGGATAGCACCTCACACTCAACACAGCTTCTTCATTTCACTCATCCGCTAAGTGTTTATCAGCACCTACTGTGTGCCAGGCCCCGTCCCTGTGCCAGAGAGCCAGAGGGGGGAAGACAGACAAGACCCAGCCCCTGGAGCTGGCCCTCCAGTGGAGAAACTGACAGAAAACGAACAGAAAGCCAGATCAGAGAGCGGCAACTGCTTCTGGGAGGATTAAGACAGGAGACTGAAAGCGACTGGCCAGATGGACAGGGAGGCCGAGGGGGCGGGGACGGTGGTATTGTGGCTGAGGTCTGAGTTCACCAGCAGAAGGAACAACCAGCGCAGAGGCCCTAAGGAGTGGGCGGGGGTGCTGGGTTCGAGGAGCAGAGGAAAATGGGTGGAGGAGGCTGGTGTGGGGCTACCAGGCACCTAACTCTTCCTCCAAACCGTTTCTCTGCAGTCTGTTCTGTGTCACCCCCCACCCACAGTCACACCCCAAATCCTGTTTCCTTTCTTTCTTCATCCTTTTTAACACAAGGCTCTCTGCTCATCGCTGCCTTCAAAACACACCTCCCATCTGTCCCCGGCTTGCTGCCTCTGCCATTCCCCCCTGGCCAAGCCACCATTATTGCCAGAGCCCTCCAGCTTTTCGGTTCCTGCTGGCCCCTTCAGTCCACTCCCTCAGCCCCAGCCCCTGTCCAGCAGCTGGAGCCATTTTTTTAAAATATATTTTTATTGATTTTTTACAGAGCAGAAGGGAGAGAGATAGAGAGCTAGAAACATCGGTGAGAGATAGAGAAACTGGAGAGAGATAGAGAGCTAGAAACAGCTGCATCTTGCACACCCCCTTCCGGGGATGTGCCCACAACCAACGTACATGCCCCTGACCGGAATCGAACCTGGGACCTTTCAGTCCTCAGACCGAAGCTCTACCACTGAGCCAAACCGGTTTCGGCTGGAGCCATTTTTTAAAACATTAATCAGATCTTGTCACCTCACCGCCTCATCCCACTGCCCTGTCCCCTCAGGCCCCAGGGAGACGGTGGTGAGAATGACATGGAGACCAACAGCACCCCTGGTGGCATTGGGTGATGGCACCTGCCTTCTTGCTCTTAAACCATGAGCAGTGGGTGGGGGAGCCTCACTCTGTGACCTGCTGATCAAAGGCAGTCACCTCCGCTGTCCACCTGGTGGCAGGGACCCAAATTGCAGGCAGGGTGCCAATGCCCAGGAGGAATTAGCCAAATCCAAGATGCTAGAAGCTCCTTGACATCCCTCTTGGGGCATCTCTCAGTTTGCAAAGCACACTCTCCCCGCCTCACCTTGAACTGCCTCTTCTCTCTCAGATACTGGCGGTGGGAGCCGAAGCGCCGGGCAGCACTGGGCGAAGCTCCGGGGAGAAAGTGGGCACTTCTTGGAGCGGCACCGCGCTTCCTCTGCGGCGCCCCAGGGCGGGCCTCGAAGTACCGCCCCCCAGGCTTCCTCTCTCCACCGCTCTGCCCAGAGGGACGTGGCCCAGACTGCTTCCGCACACCTCGATGCCCCCCGAGCTTCCTCTCCCTCCCAAGCAGCCCAACGGGACCACCCCAGAGCCGCGTCCACCCAACAGGACGCGCACAGGGCTTCTGCGCAGCAGAGCGCCCCCAGAACGGCCTCCCCCTCCAGAACCGCCCAGCGGGATCCCTCCAGAACCGCGTCCACCCAGCGGAGCCGCCCCCGAGCTTCCTCTTCCCCCAGAGCCGCCCAACAGGACAACTCCAGAACCTCTTCTGCCCAACAGGACAACCCTCAGGCTTCTTCCTCTGCCTGCACTTCTCAACCGGAAAACTCCAGAATTTCCTGTGCCCAGAGGGACAACCCCAGAGGCCCCTCTCCCAACCGGACCACCCAGCGGGAAAACTCCAGAACATCCTGTGCCCAGAGGGACAACCCCAGAGGCTCCTCTCCCAACCGGACCACCCAGCGGGAAAACTCCAGAACGTCCTGTGCCCAGAGGGACAACCCCAGAGGCTCCTCTCCCAACCGGACCACCCAGAGGGAAAACTCCAGAACGTCCTGTGCCCAGAGGGACAACCCCAGAGGCCCCTCTCCCAACCGGACCACCCAGCGGGAAAATTCCAGAACGTCCTGTGCCCAGAGGGACAACCCCAGAGGCCCCTCTCCCAACCGGACCACCCAGCGGGAAAATTCCAGAACGTCCTGTACCCAGCAGAACGCCCCCAGAACCTCTTCTACCCAACGCAACAACCCGCAATCCTCTTCCTTCCGGCGGGACAACCCCGGGAGCTCCTCCCCTCAGTGCTGCACCCCAAAGAACAATCCTGGGCCATCATCTCCCCATCGCTCCTCTCAGCGGAACAACCCCAGGAATTCTTCTCCCCATCGTACCAACAAAGACATCCCCTGGGCCTCCTTCCCCCTGCGGCCCACCCAGAGCGATGGCCCCCGCACCTCCTCCCCGTCCCGCTCCAAGCAAAGTGAGGTTCCCTGGGCATCCATCGCCCTTCGGCCAACCCAGGCTGACAGGCCTCAGACCTCGTCCCCCACCAAACCAGCTCAGCGGGACTCCCCCGAGTCCTCGGGCCCTCCCCAGCACAACTCACCGGCCCGGGCCTCTTCCTCGCACAACCCCGGCCCCCACACGGCCCCCCGGACTTCCACGCCTTTGTACCTCACCCGAGGGGCATCCCAGACCTCTTTTGACTCCTCCCAGTCTACATGGGCTGTGTGCATTGGGCACCGGGATGCCCCCCGGGCCTCTTCGCCTCCCCGCTATTTGCAATATGACCCGTTTCCCTTCTTCCCAGACCCCCACGCCTCTGAGAGCGAATCCACTCGCCACGAGCCTCCCTATATCCCCCCCGCCGTGTGCATCGGACACCGGGATGCTCCCCGGGCCTCCTCACCCCCTCGCCACACCCAGTTTGACCCCTTCCCCTTCCTCCCAGACACATCAGATGCTGAGAACCAGTCGCCCCAGCACGACCCTCCCCAGTTCCCCCCACCTGTGTGTATCGGATACCGCGATGCACCCCGGGCCTCCTCCCCTCCGCGCCAGGCCCCTGAGCCCTCCCTCTTGTTCCAGGATTTCCCCAGGGCCAGCACCGAGAGCCTGGTCCCCTCCACAGACTCCCTGCACGAGCCCCCCCACCCCCCCACCCCGGTGTGCATTGGGCACCGAGATGCACCCTCCTTCTCATCCCCCCCACGCCAGGCCCCTGAGCCCTCCCTCTTCTTTCAGGACCCCCCTGGGACTAGCATGGAGAGCCTGGCCCCCTCCACTGATTCTCTGCATGGCTCCCCAATGCTGCCCCCCCAAGTGTGCATCGGGCACCGGGATGCACCTCGAGCCTCCTCCCCACCCCGCCACCCACCCAGTGACCTGGCCCTCCTGGCACCCTCACCTCCTCCAGGCAGTTCAGGGGGCTCCCGGGGCTCAGCACCCCCCGGGGAGACCAGGCACAACTTGGAGAGGGAGGAGTACACCGTGCTGGCTGACCTGCCCCCACCCAGGAGGCTGGCACAGAGGGAGCCAGGGCCCCAGGGCAGCAACGGGGGCCGAACCCGCAGCCCTGGCCGCGCAGAGGTGGAGCGCCTCTTCGGGCAAGAGCGCAGGTGAGCCCAGGGGGGTCAGCCAGGTGGGCTGGGGAGGAGCCTCGGCAGCAGGACAGGTGGAAGGTTCAAGGCTTAGGTTGCCAGATGGAAAGGATTGTCCCCTGCGCTGCCACTTACTGGCTGTGTGACCTTGGGCAAGTCACTTCATCTCTCTTTCCCTAAGTTAAGCGTTTTTTGTTTGTTGGGGTGTGTGTGTGTGTGTGTGTGTGTGTGTGTGTGTGTGTGTTTTACAATGAAGTGATATTGTGCATAGCCTGGTGGTTAAGAGCAAAGACCAGGGTCAGGCAGGCTCGGTTCAATCCTGGGTCAAAGCCACTCCCCATCTTTGTGACCTGGTAAAGTTACTGCCTCCTCTGTAAAATCCGAATGTTCTACATTAATTGAAATGAGGTTAAGCTCTCAAACCCTTAATGTGATCCATAGTCACAGGTTTGTTTATTTTCCCCCCTCCTTACGTGAGGGAAGAGTCCCCATGATTTTTTTCTGCCTTAACAAAGAAAACTCAAGGCTACCCATGGCTCTTGGAAAAGAATGTCAGTTTAAAATACATAGCCAGAGCATTATTGTAATTAAGCGAACTCAGAATCACAGACTTCTTAGAAGCTAAAGGTTACTCTCCTGGGATATGGCGAGAAGCCCAAGTTCAGGTGTCCTGTGAGTGCTCCGTTCCCCCTGCTCTGGCTGAGGTCTCTCTCCAGCAGTCCCAGCCTCAGGAGTTCTCAGGACCAGGGTTGGCATTCCGTTAGTCAGGGTTGAAAAAACAGCAAACAGTAGGTCTGGTATGATGAATTATAGCGTATCTTCCAAGACCCAGTTGTGCAACCATCACCACCGCCCAAATTTAGATCATTTCCATCACCCTAAGGAGCAGGTGATATTTTGCATGCAGAATTCCTCTCTCTGTGTCCCCGAGGCAACATTTTATCTTAGATTGAGTCTGTGTTCGAAATCTTATCTTTTATTATTCAAGTTTCCTTTTCTTGTTTTTGTTTGTTATTCCTCACCTGAGGGTATTTCCCCCCATTGATGTGTAGAGATAGTGGAAGGGAGGGGAAAAGACCGAAAGGGGAAAAGGGCCATGTGAGAGAGACCATTGATTGACTGGTTGCCTCCTGGGGATTGAGTGCCCCTTCAGTCCTAAGGCTCAGCTAAGGCTCAAAGTTCCTTTTACAGTAACTTCAATCCGTTTACTATCCAGATGACAACCTTTAAGGTCTCCAGCATTAATATAACTATTTCTTTGGTCTTTTTAAAATTAAAAATATTCGAATTTTTAAAGCAGTTTTAGGTTCACAGCAAACTTGAATGGAAAGTACAGAGAGTTCCCATGCATCCCATTTTCCACACCACATGCCTGGACTCAGCTCATTATCAACAGCTCCGATCAGAAGGTGCATTTGCTACAAACCATGAACCAACACGGACACGTCATTAGCATCCAAAGTCCATAGTTTACATCGGGTTCACTCCTGGTGCTGTACATGCTGTGGATTGGGACAAATATACAATGACACAGGCCCACTATTATGGCATCAGATTAGTTCCACTGCCCTAAAAACCCCTTTGTCTTTGCCTTTTTACGACTATTTTTAGTCACACGTCAGCTTGTGTACTTTAACTTCTATCTGATAACTCAGTAGGAGCACTAAGGTTTTAAATCAAAGTTACATTTTCTTTCTTTCTTTTTCCTACTAGGGTAACTTTTAGAGAGAGAAAGGTTTATAATAAAAGTCCAGAATATGTTTATACTTTTATTAATCATTGAATTGTTTTTACGCATATACTTTTATTCATTTTATGTTATTCTTTGAAATAGATTATTTACCTTTTTTAGCTTTATTGAAGTATAGTTGCTATATAACAAATGCATATGCTTAAGTATATATTTTGGAGAAATAGATGACTTAACTTTTAACCAAGGTTTTATAACTCTACTGAGTAATTAAATGTTCTCCTGTTGTATGGCACTTTTTCCAAGTAGAAAACCATTTGTAATCTGAAAAAGAAATTGAAAAACCTATTTAAGTATCTGGAAGACTGAAATTTATGAGTGAGTGACTATAGATAGTACATTTATTATTTTCTCCTATTTCATTTAGCATGTATTTATTGAGCATCTACTCTGTCCAAGCATTGTACTAACTAAGCCTGGAAATTTTTCCTTAACGGCTCTCACATTAAAGCATTAGGAATTTTGGCTTGATATCTTCATTTTCTTTTCCCCTGGATGCCTTTGGAATCTCTTGTCTTACAATCACATAAGCACTTTTTAGTCTCTTCAATTCAAAACTGAGCCTTCATGGGACTTGCTAGACTTGACAGCTTTGTCCTTTAAACTTTGTGGAGGTGGAAGAGCTCATCACAGGTTCCAAAGGAAATGCATTTCCTTTATCAGCCCAGGGCAGCCACATCAGCCTCAGTAACAGGTGACCCGAGGGCCCTATTGCTGCCCAGATTCTACCTGAGTCTTCACTCCTGTCTCTCAATTCCTCCTGGAGCGGGGGCTCCTAGTAGGAACTGACAAGCTGGAGTTCGTATGGAACATACACTCACTGGGAGAGAACACACACGTGCCTCGCTGCCCCACCCGGAGTATTCTCCATCGCTGTCACAATCACATTTCGGGCTTTTGCTTCCCAGAGGCTCCTACACCCTGGTTCTGGCAGCAAAGCCCTCTGAGGCCTCGGATCTCTCAGAGCAAGGAACCTCTCTTGCTTCAAATTAGGTTAAAAATGGAACCTGATCTGGTAGTCCTCCAACTTAGAAACATTTAGTCCAGTGGGAAGCTTTGGTTCCCTGTGAGTCAGCTGCTACAAACTCCAGTTACTTTATGGATTTGATTTTAGGGACATCGCTTAACGCCATAAGACAGCAACAGACCCCAAGCCCATGATTTGTTTTCGCTCCGAAGCCTCTGTAGGGTTCCAGCATGGCTCCCAAGCTGGGGGCAGACTCCAAGCACAGTCCCCTCCCAGGCCCAAGGGATGGTTCCTCTCACTTCCCTCTGTGCTGGCTCTGTCAGGGCTCAGCACCAGGTCATCTATTTCAGGCTCCGCCCAGGTCAGCTCGGCCACCAGCTGGGCCACCATCCCTTTGCCCATGTAGATGGAGCCAGACTCAAACCCTGTTGGACTAGATACCCAGTGGAGCGGCCCAGTCTTGTGTTTTGAACCCTTACATGTGGGAGTGGAGAGACGGGCCCAGAACCTGTTTGGTATTCCTACGTGCAACAGAGTTGTTAGTTAAGTATTAATAGCCATGGCTACCAATGACTAAGTAAGACAGCTAAGTGGCACTAAGGACGTTTACCAGCTTCGAGCTTATCTCTGACAGACGTGGCAACAATGCCTGAAGCCTAGGTGTCTTGGCAACCTTTTCTGCTGACCTTCCTGGAGCTGTGTAGGAAGAGGGAACATTTCTTCCTTCTGATCTTACTCAGAGCTCTGTTACCAATAGCTAGGATGGCCCAGAGTTTTCAAGGCCAAGTGCAGGAATCTTGTTAGTACTGAGGAATAAAAGGGTGGACCTGGGAAGTAAAAAATGTACCATGTAGACTGAAAGATGGCAGAAAGAATGGAATAGGAGGATGTGAACATTCTGCAGCTCCCGTGGGGTGCGTGAGATGACATGATTTGGCACCTGGAACACAGCAAATGATCAATAAAGGTTTGCCGTTACCATCCTGTGTACACAGTGCCTGGGGACCAGTAGTTGCTCAATAAACCTTAATTCCCACAAAGACCAGTCTAACCTTTGTTTGGGTTGAGAGATGGGCTGTTGGCTGGGTGGCAGTCAGAAACAGGAGGTACTGAGAGAGACAGGAGGCAGTCAAGGCCAAGGCTGAGCCCCCACCGTCACTCATCCCTTTTTCCATTTAATCTCCACAACAGCCCCCTGAGGCAGGTAGAGCAGAGTCGCCCATTTTTCAGAAGGAGAAACCGAGGCCCTTAGGGCTCTTCAGCTGTGGGTCCCCTATATCTCCTCCGGTTGGGGGTGGGAGTAGAGGCGGTGGGTGCTGGGAGTGGGACAGCCCCAAGGGCCCTCAGAGGGGCGGCTGCATTTGCTCATAGGAAGTCCGAGGCACCAGGGACCTTCCAGGCCCGGGACGAGGGGCGGTCGCAGCGGCCCGGCCAAGGTCAGAGCCAGCTTCTCCGGAGACAGTCCAGCCCTGCCCTCAGCAGGGAGGTGAGCACTGCCAGCCTGCCCTGGGCCCCTGCACCCCAGGGGTGAGCCACTGCTTTTCCCCTCCCCCAGGTGCCAGGCTGGGTCCTGGGAAGGGAGGTCCTTTATGAAAGTGTCAGAGTCCCAATCACGGATTTCCAGCTTCCCCCTTTCCCGGAGAGCCAGCAGCTCTGGGCAAGACTGTGGACCCCCGTTAGTCCTTTGGAGACGGCCCTTCCTTGTTTCCTTCCTTCATTGGGTAGCTGCTATCTTGAGTTTTTAGGAAAAGCCTTGGACTCAATAGTCCGCCTCTAAGGGCTATCACTTCCAAGGGGATATATATATATATATATATTTAAAATATGTGTATATTTTAAAATATATATATTTTTGCCAAAACCGGTTTGGCTCAGTGGATAGAACGTTGGCCTGTGGACTGAAGGGTCCTGGGTTCAATTCCGGTCAAGGACACATTGTGGGCACATTCCCAGTGGGGGGTGTGCAGGAGGCAGCTGATCAATGTTTCTCTCTCATCGATGTTTCTAATTCTCTATCCCTCTCCCTTCCTCTTTGTAAAAAAATCAATGATTTCAGAGAGGAAAGGAAAGAGAAAGAAACATCAATGATGAGAAAGAATCATTGATTAGCTGCCTCCCGCTGGGGAACAAGCCCACAACCTGGGAATTGGACCGTGACCTCCTGGTTCATAGGTCGATACTCAACCACTGAGCCATGCCGGCTGAGCGGGATTTATATTTTTAAAGAAACTCTTAGAGGGCAAGGCCTGAGCCAGGGGAAGGGAGTGTTGGTGTGGAAATTCGTGCACCTGATAGCCCTGGTTGGAATCAATATCGTGGGGGAGGGGAAGCCAGGACAGTGAGCAGCTCTTTGCAGATCTTTCTGGAACTGCAGAAAGTGGGTGAGAGGGGAGAGCAGACACCCCCCGGGAGGGAGCGCAGAGGCTGATCCAAGCTGCTGTGAGGACACAGCCTGCCTCTCCCTGTGGCCTGGCCAAGAGCCCAGTGTCCCGAGCTCCTCGACAGAGTGCACCTGGCCAGGGTCCCGGAGCCTCACCCACCCTCACCTCATCCTCAGGTAACCACACCCCCTGCGAAGCAGGCAGAACCAGCCCGGAGGAGCCGTGCAGAGCCCCCTCCTCCCAGGAGGCCTGAGGGGGACCTGCGGCTCCAGGGGTCCTCGCCGCCCCCAAGAACGTCAGCCAGGACTTCTGAGAGGGAGCGGCGAACAGAGAAACCTCCAGAGAGAGGCCGAGCAGGCCCAAGACAGCCTCTGGGGGGGTGGCAGAGTCAGGAGGAGCTGCCTGGGGCCCCGTGTCCTCACAGACACGTGGAAAGAGGCTGGAGCAGCCAGGAGGAGGGCCCAGGCCTGGGGGGCTGGCAAGGACCTGGGGAGCCCAGCGGGGGCACCACCAGAGCCCTGGAGGGGACATGGAGGGGCCCTCTCAGGGAGTCTGGGGAGAGCTGGGGGCAGTCAGAGGCCTGGGAGAAGCCCCCCAGTAATGGGCTGCAGAAGCCCCCTGACCGGCCAGCTCAAAGGGGCCGGGGCGCTCTGCAGGAGCTGTTCGGTCCTCCCCAGCCGATGAGCCGCCCAGAGGACACCCGGGAAGGCCCCGCAGAGTTCTCGAACTCCCGGAGGCCTGAGACAGCCGCTGCTATGGGCCGGGGACCTGAGGGCGCATGCCCACACCTGCACGGCCCTGAGAGGCGCCTCGAGCTTGACTGGAGGGACCTGCTGAGCCTTCTTGGGATGCCCAGAGAGGGGGCCTGGGACCGCACAGAGGAGCCAACGTCTGCTTCCCGTCTTCCAAGGCTGGACTGGGAAGGCCTCCTGCAGCTCCTGCAGGCCCAGCTGCCCCGAAAGGACCCGGCTGGACACTGGGGTGGCCCAGCCACAGCTCCAGGGCCAGAGCTGGGTTCCCCAGGCACAAAGGACGCCCTTGAACGAGAGCAACAAAGCCAGCCTGCCGGCTGGGCAGAAACCGCCCTCGTCAATGGACACAGCCCCGAGCAGTGTCCTGCCTGCATCTCCACCCAGTGGCCAAAGACCAAAGCAACGGGCGGACCAGAGACCTCAACTATAGCTGGTCTGGAGACGAGCCCGCTGGGGAGTAGGAGCCCTGCAGAAGGCCCCAGCTCAGCAGACTGGGAGGTAAGTCAGTCTCAAAGCTCGGCCCTAATCCTCCCTCCTGACCAAAACCTTTCCCAGTCCACCAAAATGGCCATTGGTGATCATGGCCAACTCTCCAGTGAGAATTTACTATGTGCTATGCCCTGGTGTGAATGACTTACGGGTATTTTACTCATTTAATTTCCATAGCAACCTCAGGAGAAAGCCACTGTTCATTTACAAATCAGGAAACTGAGGTAGAGAGGTCAAGCCACTTGCCCCAAATCACAGCTGGTAAGGGCTGGGGCAGGGGTGAAACAAAGGTCTGCTCAGAGGCCTGAAGCAAGATGCTCTGTCCAGGGCCTTCTCATCTCCCGGCCCCCCACACCTGGCTTGTGTTGTCCTGGTGGCTCTTCGCTGACTTTGGCCGGCATGTTCCCAGTGCGGTCATGTCCCCTCCCCTCGCTGTATTCCGGGCCCCTCACAGACCAGAACAGCCTCACTTACCCCTCTCTGGTCCTTCCAGCTCCTTCCAGGCACAGTGAAGAGGTTATCTGCTCAGTGAGTGAGTCGGCTGCTGAGACAGGTTGCTTAAATGAGGACCCATGTGCACAGTAAGCTCAAGGCCTGGCACATAGTAGGTGCTCACCAAGTCCCTTCCCTGCCTTCTTGGCCCAGGGCAGGCTCCCAGAGTCGGTGGTACTCTGGTGCTGCCTGGAGCATTTATCTGGAGGTGATGGGCTGGGCGGGTTCTGGAGCCAGAGCCCGGCAGCCTGCCTCAGCTCCCTGGAGCACAGCGCATGGTTTGGGACTCCTAGCCCATCTTGGCCTCAGTCTCCCCCATAAAACAGGACCAAATGCTTCCCTGACAGGTGCCACTGGGATGCTGTGCGGCTCCTGTGTGTTCATCTGACCCTCAATGTGCAAGGATGATGGCGGGGTTTGTGGTGTGCCGGGCCCTGGGCTGCGCGCTTTACATGCTCTGCCATGTACAAGGTTCAGACCATTAGGCATTTGCCAGGAGTCACACCTGTATAAGTCCACGGCAGGACTAGGGAGTTCCTCCCCCGTATTTCTGGCTTTTATCCATTTGTCCTCTAATCAATTCAATGCACAGACACCAGAGAGGCAGAGAGGTTCTGCCCTCAGGACAATGGAGGAATTTGGGGACCCCACATAGGAAGTTGCTGTCAGGCTTCCTGAGGAGGCAGGTGGACCACTCGTAGCTCAGGGAGGGTGCCAAGCTGTGTCCCAGTGAATGCTGGGATGCCAGCTCAAAGGGAAGAGGGAAACCAGCTAGAGTTACTCCACAGTGAGGCTCAGGGGTCCCAGGGAGATTAGGAGATGGTGACTGGGGAGGGGCAGAAACACCACATGCTTAAGGGCATTTCTACACACACACACACACACACGCACACACACACACACACACTTCCACCGATAACAACAGGCATTCACTAGGCTCCAGCTGCTCACCTCTATGAAAATCCTTGGCACAGCATTCAAGACCTCCTGGCCTTCCTTTCACCAGATTTGCGCTCTGGTTGTGCTGAGCTGGCTGCAGAGCCCTGTGAGCACACCTCCCTGCCTTTGTGCACCCTATTCCCATGGCCCAGGATGCTCTTTCTCTCCCTCCTCACTAAACGCCGTTCACTGTGCAAGTCAGATCAGGTGCCCCGTTCTGAGCCACTTTCCCCAGGTTGGTGATGTCTTCCTTCTGGGCTTGGTAGTTCTACTTCATCTGGTCATGCTCAGTTGTCATTTCCCCATAAGAAACATGAGCTCTGAGGAGCAGGAGGTATGCCTTTTCTCTCTGTATCCCTGGCCCCTGGCCCAGGGCCTGAAACAGTGGAATAGGTCAGCTCAGTGGATGGCTGACCAGTGAATACATGGATGCTTACGTGCATGCAAGCCCTGGCTGGTGTTGCTGAGTGGTTAGAGCATCTGCCCACGTACTGAAGGGTTGTGGGTTTGATTCCTGGTCAAGGGCATGTGCCTGGCTGCAGGTTTGATCCCTGGCCCTGGCTGGGCCATGTGCAGGAGCCAATCAATTGATGTGTCTCTCCATATTGATGTTTCTCTCTCCCCCTCCCTCTCTCCACTCTCTCTAAAAATCAATGGGAAAAATATCCTTGGATGAAATTAACCAAAAAAAGAAGAAAAGAAAAGATGGAATATGGGGGGAAGGGGAGTGGATAGATGGTAGATAAATGATTAAAAATGGATATGTGAATGGATGATGAAAAGGGCATATATGCTGGACAAATAATAATAAATATTGCATGGATGGGTAGATAAATATATAGATAGATAGGTGATGAATGGAATAGAAATTTAGGGGTGTCGAACTCAATCAGAGAAGGGGCCAAAATCTAAAATCCAGCCTAAATCGCGGGCCGAATGGTTTACTGAACAGTCATAAACTGTCATTGTGATGGAAACACAGCGGAGTACAGTGATGACAGCGAGGTGCGGGCCACATTGCAAGGCCTGGCGGGACGGATTTGGCCTGCGGGCCTTGTGTTTGACACATGTGGAATAGATAATAGATATTAGATGGATGGATGTTGCTTAGATGATGGATGGGGTGATGAATGGATGGGTGGAAGAATGTTGGGTAGAATATGGATGGATAGATGGATGGATGTTGCATGGATGGGTATATGTGGAATATGGATGGTGGATGTTGAATGAATGTTAGAAGGATAGGTAGATGGACTAAGGAAGGATAAATGGATGTAAGATGGATGGGTAGATGATGAATAGAGGATGCATAAATGGGAAAATGGATGTTGGATGGAAAAGGTGGATAATGTAGGATGGCTGGATGGGTACATGGATCTATGGATGTTGGATCTATTGATAAATAGATGTTGGATGATGAGTGGATAGATAAGAAGGTGGATAGACGGGTGGAAACTGGGGGAAAACTTGGACTAAGCTGCATTCTTTCTTATCTCCAGTTCCAATCAAAGGAGCCTGAGGAGTCAGAACCGAGAGGAGACTCATTGACTGACCAGAAGCAGGCAGACTCGGTAGTTGGGTCTTGGGTGTGGACACCTGGGGAGGGGAGTGGAAGGGATGGGAAATTAGATTGGAGATGGGCTGAGGTCCTCAGCTGAACTCTGGGTTCATCCAGACCCAGGTGGGCTCTGTAATGGGGTCGTTTGTGTGCATGGTGGGGCCTTGAGAGGAGGGGCTCCGGTGGAGCTGGGTGGCAGAGCCACCTTCTGGCTTGGGGACTGGGGGAGGACTTGAGCCCAGGGCTCTGCTTTTAACTTGCCAGAATGCCCTAAAAGGTAAGCTCAAACGGTCCCCCGCACTCCCGCCCCACCCTCCCGGCAAATAGCAGTTTGGCTGCAATGGTCTAAGAAGGCAAGGTCCTTCTGGCTCTGGAGGGCTGCCAGGCTGGGAGAAAGGGTAGAGCTTCCAGGAGCTGGAGCAAGAGCAGCGTTAAAGGGGGCTGAGGAAATGCCAAGCTTAGCCAGGTCTGGAGCATCTCCTGGATCCTGGGGCAGGACAGATGTTGCAGGGTGGGACCCCCTGAGGCTGCTCTGGGCCTGGCTGCAGCTGTAGTGCTTTGTCCCGCCCCTCCCCCTGACCTGCCAAACAGACTGTTCTCCTCACCCTCAGCCTCCAGAGAGGTGAGGTCAGAGCTCAGGGCCTGGGGCCGAGGGAGGGAGGCAGGCAGGGAGGAGACAGGCTGTTTGGGGTTGCGCTTTCCTTATTCTGCTGCTCTCCTTCCCACTTGCCGCCTGATTGGGGTGTCTGTCTGGCAGGCTGAGCCCTGACTCTGGCCCTGCTGCTTGTCAGAGCTGGGGGATTGTGCCCAACCCCTCACTGTGCAGATGAGAAAACAAGGGGCAGGGGTGTGGCTCCAGGTCATACAGTTGGTGGCTGAACTCAAAGAAGAACCGGGGCTTGGAACCCCCACCCAGCTCTCTCTGCTCCCCACAAGCTGCTTCCTGGCCCTGCTCTGACTCCCTGCACAGCAGCAGCCATGTCCTGTGTGCTTGGTGGGCCAGTCTTCCCAAAGGGTGGCTGTAGGAGTTTGTGAAATGGGAGGGGACCGGGGACTGGTCACTGAAGGCACTTCTAGCTCTCACAGGGGCCCCGGCAACTTTGCTCTTCCTCTTTTTGGGTTATTTCTTCATACTTCCTGGGGCCAGGGTTTCATGAACAAAGAGGAAATGTCAGACAGGGGTCCCTCCAGTCTCCACAAAATGGGGCCACCCCAGCAACACGGAAAGCCTCTCAACCACCCCCAGGCAGCCAGGGCTACACAGAATTGATAGCAGCCTCATTCATTCATTCACTCATTCATTCACCTTCCCTTAGTGAGCACCATCTGCATGCCTGGGTGTGGGCGGAGTGACTCAGAGCGCCAGCATGGAGCGCACGGGCTAGGGGCCAGCACTGTGATGGGACAGGGGTGCAGTCCTCCCCAAACCCTCCTCCACCTGTGCTTTCATGCTTCATGTTCTGCCTCCAGTGAATCTCCTGATCTGGCGGGTTGGGACATCTGGGCTCTGTCTTCCTCCCACCTGCTCTGTGACTTGAGGCAAATGCTTTTGCTTTGCTGGGCCTGTTCCTCCAAAGGGGGCTCACTTGGGGGGGCTACCAGGATGGGAGGGCAGGTGGCTGTAGGAGTCTGTGATCCATTCCTTTCACCAAGGTGAGGAGAGGAGGCAGATGGAGGGCTTGGGGCTAGAGGGGCCTTGGGTGGCCCCTTGGCCCCAGGTGGCTGTGCCATGGGGAAGAAGGTTCAGAGTTCCCACATCTTTACATATTTTAAGAGAAGTTAGAAATAAGTAATTATATGTTAAATCTCTTGATGATTTAACACTGAAACCTAAGGCAGAAAACCCCTCCTGCCGGCCATATGGGGTGTGGAGCCCTGTCAAGCACACACCCTATAGCACGAAACAGGAACCGAGCTGTTCTCACAGCTCTGTGAGCGGAGAACAAGGGGAACCCTGGGCCTTTAGGGGGGCCCGGCAGGATGGGCAGGGGAGGCCGTAGTCAGGGACTTTCCCATCCCACCAAAGGGACCTGGGGGCCAACACTGGACCCTGTTTGACAGGCAGACAAGAGGCCAGCGGAGGCCAAGTCTGGGAGCCCGCTCAAGGGCCGACTGGTGACCTCATGGCGGATGCCCGGGGACCGGCCCACGCTGTTCAATCCGTTCCTGCTCTCCCTGGGGGTCCTCAGGTGGCAAAGGGTAGGCTGGCTCCCGTGGGGTGGGAGGGGAGAGGGTGGGGAGCTGGGGAGGAGAGGGAGGAGGTTGGTGTTAGCCAAAGAGGAGTGAGTGGAGGCTGAGAGGGCAGGGTTTGGGGGCAGGGTGAGAAAGGGATCACAGAGCCCTGAGCCCTCATGGCCTCTGAGAGAGAGTGGGGTGCCCACTCCAGGGGGCAGGGTGACTGAGTGAGCTTCAGAGCTGAAAGCTCCCGGTCAGCAGCCGGCCGGAGAGCCAGGTTGGGGGGAGGGGGAAAGGAAGGGGGAGGAGGACCCTGTGAGGGGCTCTGGGATTGCAAAGTGTGTCTCAGTCCTGGGCCTGAGCCAGTTTCACAAACATCTGGCATTACGTAACCCATCCCCTGCCCAGTGCAGGCTGTAAACACTCAGGCCTCTGGTTCGGGGTTTCCTCAAGGGCAGGAGGGGAGGCAGCTGTGACCTGCCCCCTCCTGCCCCTTCACAGCCAGAGAGAAGGGGGCTGGCTCACGCGGCTCTTCTCTCAGTGACAGGCTGGCTGTCACCCTCTTGCTGGCCCTGGGCCCCGCCCCTGGGCTGGGCATGTTAAAGACTTACACCCATTTTACAAACGAAGGGACTGCGTCTCAGGGCGGTGAGTTGACTTGCCGGAGGTCAAAGAGCTGGGGTTCAGAGGAGCCAGCTTCTTGGTGACTTTCCTCACTCCAAGCCGAGAGAATGGCTGCAGCTGGACTCACTGAGCCGTGGTTGCCACATCGGTCTAGGGGGGCAGGGCCTCTATGAGACGCTCAGGGATGCAGGGGGGCCCCGGGAGATCAGGATGCACAGAGGGGTGATGGGGGCAGGTGTGGCCAAATACCAACTTCCCCATCCCCTTCATAATTTCCTCTCTGCTGCCTTTTGGGAGTTAGTAAGAGGGTATTGAGAACGTGTTACCTGGGCAGGGTGGTACTTTCAAGCCATGGACAGGAAGTACCTTATGAGACCTTGTCAACGGGAAGTGGGTCTGGCAGGAAGGGGCAGGTGAAGCCCTGAGTGGAGAGAAATGGAAGAAGGACGCTGGGATAATGATGCTTGCTGCTGATCACTAGCATTTATTGTGCACCTACTATGTGCTCAGCTGTGCTCAAAGCATGGCATGCCTTACCACCAGGCATATTAGGGACTGTTTATATTGTCCATGTTACAGACAAGAAAATGAGGCTCAGAGAAGACAAGAAATCACTGCTGTAGATCCCACTGGGGGCAGAGTGGAGATTTAAACTGGTTGCCCTCATGCCCGCTCCCTCCCCACAACTGTGCATCTGGATCTCCCTGCCTTCTGCAGGCTCAAGAGTCCCCATTAGACAGGTGTGGCAGCTGTGGCTTGGTGAGTTTGCAGTGGTTCTTGCATCTGGGAATGAGGAGAATCAGGAGCTGAGGGATAGAACTGCCAGTGGGGCCGCCCAGACAGTTACTTAGAGTAGTTGCAAACATCTCTTGAGCTAGATAGTGACATTAGTCCAAGGTTAAGAACCAGGACGCCTGGGCTTGAATTCTGTTGCTGCACTAACTTGTGTGGCTTTGGGCCATTGTCTCCCTTTTCTGAGCCTCACGTGGCTATCCTTGACAGAGTACCAGCTTAAGACTGAATCCTCCCAACGTTGGGTGGCCCTGTGTAATAACTCTCTCCTGCGTCCCCGAGCCTGTGCTCTCTCTCTCCTGCTAGGGCAGGTTGTGGTAAGGTAGTCATTTCTTCTATTTGTGCATTCATTCATTTAACCCTTGTTTGCTAAGGACGTATTGTGGGCTGCAGCTCTGAGACAGAGACCAAAAAACACTTCATCCCTGCCCACAAGGAGCTCATGGTTTGGTGAGAACACTGACACGTATGTGGTTAGAACACTGTGGTTATCACGTTACGGGGGAACATACAGACATAGGGAGCACTGGGTGGGAAGGTGGCGCAGGGAACATCAGACAAGGAGATGGTTACTGTGCTGGGGGCACTTGGGCACCAAGACTTGAAGAGTGAGGAGGAGTTTTCCAGGCAAACAAACAGTTGGAGGGAGAGGCGGGAGAGACGGGAGTGGATGTGTGCGCTCTGGGGTGTGGGGAGTGAGGGTACAGAGAACTGGAAAGGAAGTGTTTCAGACACAGCAGAGAACAACGTGTGCAGTCCCACCAAGGTACAAATGACCTCATTCTAGGAACTCTCAGAAGTCCAGCATTGTGGACCCTAGCATGTAAAATGTGTTTATGATGACGGAGGACAGCAGGCAGGGGCAGATTTTAGGATGGATTCAGACTGCTTGGAACAAGAATGCAGAGCTGATCTATTAGCACGGGGGAAATGTTGAAGAACCTGGAACGGGGGAGTGATCTGATCACTGGATTGAGGGAACTAGAAGTGGAGTCCCAGAGGCCAGGAAACCTGTAAGGAGCTATGAGGTGTCCAGGCCAAAGGGCAAGGCACTGGTGGAAGGTGAGGTCTTCCCCTTCTTCTTCTTCTTCTTCTTCTTCTTCTTCTAAAATATATTTTATTGATTTTTTACAGAGAGGAAGAGAGAGAGTCAGAAACATCGATGAGAGAGAGTCATCGATCAGGTGCCTCTTGCAAACCCCCCACCGGGGATGTGCCCCCAACCAAGGTACATGCCCTTGACCGGGATCGAACCCGGGACCTTTCAGTCCACAGGCCGACGCTCTACCCACTGAGCCAAACCAGTCTTGGCTGAGGTCTTCTTTTTGTCCACTCATTCTCCCCAGGGTGGAATGCCTGAGTTAGGTGCAGGGGTAGGGTAGGAAAATGGCCTGGGGATGCCAAAAGGCCAGTGTCTAGCGGAAAATGGGCTTACCTATGACCTCATTTCTAGTGTGGAGGAGAGAATCCCAGTGGGAAATACTGAGAAAGAACGTCAGCTCCCTGAGCCTCCATTTCTTTATCTGTGAAATGGGGACAGTAATTATGGTAGTAATAATTCTTGATCCCCACACTAAGATGGCAGAATAATTGAAATGGCAGTTATTCCAAACCCCCTGCCCTTCTACCGAAGGATAGCTAACTAGGGATACATACATGAGGTGTTCTGAGTACTTAACAATTAATCCTTATAGCAACCCCATGGGACAACAGCATTATCCCATTTAACAGAGGGTGAAGTTGAGGCACAGAGAGATTAAGTACCTTGCTTAGGTAACGCAGGGTTTGAATCACAATTCCACACAAGCTACTACATGCATTTAGCAACAAATTCCACCAAAGGTTCCTCCTCCACTTCAGGGCTCAGATGAACTCCTGCCGGCAAAAGGGCTCCTAAAAACGGCCAAGTGCTCTGGGAACGGGAGCCACGGGTGTGCACCCGCACCCGAGAACCCCAAACCAGGTTCCTAGGTCAGAAAGACCCATTCACAGAAGAGGGCATCTAGGGGGCACATGCTAGGAGTGCCACCTCTTCTTACTCTGTGACCTTGAGCAGGTGGGCTATCCTCTCTGCGCCTCTATTTTCTCATCAGTAAAATGGGGACAAGGGCACCGTCCGGTCAAGCCTGTAGTGAGGGTGAAAGTCGATTTCCTGGGTGACACGCGGGGCTCCGGGAGTGGTTAGCACTGGGTGTTTTGCCCACGTGCCCAGCAAACCCGGCGGCTCGCGGTAGCCGAGGCGACGTGGGGCCACACCCCGCACCCCGGCGCGGTGGGCGGCGAAGTCACCTGCGGGCCGCACGGCTCCTTCCGCCCCGCGCACCCCGGCCGAGCGCGGCCGCCGCCCCCTCTCCCCGCCCCCATCCGCCCGCGGCCGCCCCGCCCCCCGCGCCCGTCCCGTCGCGCAGGCCCCGCCCCCGGCCCGTCCCACGCTCCCATTGGCTGGGCCGCGGCCCCGGCCGCTGTTTGTCCCGGCTTCCCCGCCGCCCATTGGCGCGCCCGGGTCCTCCCAGGAAGTTTGAAAAAAAAAAAAAAGTTTTATGGGCGGATGGACGGGCCGGAGCCGCGCGGGCGAAGGGAAGGGCCGGAGGTGCGGCTCTGGGCGGCCGAGAGGGGCGGCGGCAGCGGGATTCCCGCGCCGCGGAGCCCGGCCTGAGCGCCCGGTCCTCCCTCCCGCCTGCTGCCCCCACCGCCCCCTGGCGCCGCCATGACGGTGAGTGCCCCCCAGACGCCCCTCCGCGCCCGGCGAGTGAGCGACTGCCCGAGCCAGCGTCCTCCCGGGCAAGCCCCCTCCGCGTCCCGGCGGCCGGAGGCGTCTCCCCAGCGCGGGGCCGGCCGCCTGCCGCCCCTTCCCCGCCTCCGCCTCCCCTTTCCCGGCCTGGAGCCCGGGCGGACCCCAGGAGCTGGGGACGTCCCGTCAGGGCACCCGCCTCCTCTCGTCTGCGGGACCCGTCACTGACCGGTTCGGGGCGGCCCTTGACCACCAAAGTCCCACTCCCCTAGTGAAGACCTGACCAGGTCCCCCCAAACTGCGAGACCCGTGGGGGCTCGCCGGGCTCCGCGCCGGGGCTGGGGAGAGGGTCCCCCTGGTCGGGTGGGTCTCGTTGGCCCGGGCCTGGGGAGACTGCCCCCGTGGGGGCCGGCGGAGGTGGGTGGGTGAGAAGGGGTCCCGGAGCCCATCCTAGGACGGAAGCGGCCAGGACCACGATCTCCCCGGCTTGCTCCTTCGCGGCGGGGCCTTGGGTGGGGCAGCGCCGCGAGTGGGGTGGAGGACGCGCCGGCTGGGATTTGTCTTTCTCTGGGGGTGAGCCCTACCCTGGTTCCATCGAAACCTGTGCCTTAATAGTAGGCCTCGCAGCTGAGTGCACCATCATCCCCATTTCACAGTCCGGTAGACTGAGGCTCGGGGGAGGGGGCGGGGGGGGGAGTTGCCCGAGGTTACCCTGAGCATAAGGGAAGGAGCAGCCCCTTTGCGGGCCAGCCTGCCCCGCGGTGCTCTGGAAGGGAGGGCAGAGCTGCTTTTGGTTTCTGATCAGTGTCCTAGGGAGGCTCTGACAGCTGGTGAGGACAGGGGTGTGAGGCCCGGTGTGTATGTGCGTGTGCCCGTCCCCGTTCCACAGCCAGGGGAGTGGGCTGGGCTGCTGGGGAGCGGGTGGTGGTTGGGGAGAGGGGCCCCTGTCCCCCTCACCCCCCTGCGAGTGTGATGACCTGGCCGCTGCCTGGACTTCCTCAGCCTCCACACATCCTGCCACCTCCCTGCTGGCCCTTCCTGTCTGTCGTCAGCGGCCTCCCCTGTCCTGTCAGAGAGCAAAGAGGGATGTGGGGGAGGAGCTGAGTCAGTGTCCTGCCCGTCCCCCCCAGGCCGGGAGGGTAGTCACTGTGCCCACTGGTTGCCTGCCAGGCCCTGCACTGGCTGCTTTCACGGTCCCAGAACTGATCCTCTAAGGCTGATGGGACTGCCCGTCTGCCAGGTGAGGACACGGAGGTGCGAAGAGGTGACCCGGGCCCGGGCCGAGGCGGATCGGAACGGAGGGCTATCCCGGCTTTCCCTCCGGGAGATAAGAAATGTACACAGTTGCCTCCTGGAGAAGCACATGCTCAGCAGGGCCAGGCTGCGGGGAGCAGCATGTGGGCGCGGGAGGAGGGACGGCTGCCCTGTGGGAGCAGCCTGCCTGCCATTGTGGGCTTGGCCAGGTGGAGATGGACGGGGCGGGTGCGCTGTGGACAAAGGCTGGTGGGTCACATTTGGGGGATGGCGGGGACGTGGGGGAGGGTCCGGAAGAAGAGGGCCCAAAGGCAGGGAAAAGTAGCATAGGCTTTTGGTCAGGGTTGCGGAGGAGCCATGGAAGGTTTGAGGCAGGGAGGAGGAGGAGGGTCACCCCTGACGGTGCTGACTAGTGTCATCCCACTGCCCACGGACCTGCGCCTGCTCCGGGCTGGTGTCCTTTCTCACCGCCTTTCCGCTCTCGGCTGGGCCATCTCCCTGACCCCAGGGATCCGCATGGACCAAGGAGCAGTGAGTGGGTGAATGCTTAGAGGCTGGCAGCTGGCAGCTGGGAGTCTCCGCCTCCTTCTGCCTTAGCCGTGCGCAGCCTTGCCCTGGAGCCTCATTCCGCAGCCTCTGCCTGGCATCAAATTATATACCTGCTCGCTTGTTTATTGTCTGTCTCCTGACCTCCACCGAGACGGGGCCACATCTTTCATCCGCAGCTCACGGACTTCCTGGTCCAGAGCAGGGCAGGAGAGTTACAAAAAAGAAAAAGGAAGATTCCACAAACATTCCCCGGGTCCTGGGGGTGTGAACGCGCATGTCCCTGCCTGTGAGCTGAGTCTGAGGGACAAGTAAATGTCTTCGAGATAATCCTGGGCCACGGAGGCTGGGGGAGGGCGCGGGGGCGAGTGTGGCATGTGCTGAGGCCAGCCCTGGAGGAGGAGGTTAAGCCGTGTCTTAAAGCATGAGGAGGGTGCGCTCTGGTGTTCAAGCCGAGGGCACAGGCGTGCGGAGGACCTGAAGTCCTGGCGTGTTGGGGATCCGTGAGGATGCGTGGAGAGGTTAACACGGGCCCCCAGCGCGGGGGGCGGGGGGGGAGCCTGGCTGGAAGGGTGGGGCTGACGCTCTTGGGCCATCCTAAGGCAGCTGGGTTTTGTTTTTATTATTTGTTTATTTTTTCCCATTTTAAAATCATTTTTATTTTTTAATTACATAATGTAATTGACACACATTATTATATTAGCTTCAGGTGTACTGGACTTTGTTTTGAAGCCACCTGAAGCCACTCCTGGCGGCTCTGAGCAGACTTGTAACACTGGGCCTTTTTGAGGGAGCCCCTCTGCCAGAGCGCCCAGAGGGAGGAAGCCGTGTCCCAGTCTGGAAGGTCCAGGAGGGCGGGCATAGTGCCCACCTGTGGCCAGAGGGAGGAGGGGGCTGGACTGGGAGGCCTGCTGGTGCTCCTTCAGGGAGGAGAAGGTGAGCTTCCTGCAGGTGGTGGAGAGGTGGCTGGGCTGAAGAGCTGTGTGAAGCTGCAGTGAGAGATTTAGGTTATTAGAGCTTTTGATCCTGGGTGGGGGGTGGGAGTTCCCAGCTGACCATAGGACCTCCCCTGCCAGCAGTTTAAGATCTCCATTGGTGGCTTCCTCTTCCCATGGTCCCTGAGCCAGCCCACGCCTGAGGTGGCGTGCAGCGTGTTGGTACCGGCTTCCAGAGGGCCACTGGGCTTTTCCATGGGGCACGTTCAGTCCTCATAACACTTGAGGGAGGTCCGGACGCCCCCTCATTTACCACATTGGGCAGCCGGGCTCAGAGAGGGGATGTGGCTTAGGAAGGTCGCTGTGACCCCACTTCCCAGCAGCCCTTGGGGTCCCAGCCTGCACTGCTGCTAGGGAGCCCTTCCTCAGCTTCTGGAAGTCCAGGCTGATCTCCTGTGGGCCATCCCAGGAAGCCTAACTCCTCCGGGCCAGGGGGTGGGGTGGGGGTGGGGCCTGCCTCCAGAGCACAGAACTGTAGATGGGGAAGAGGAGGGTGGATATTTATTCAGCACGTTTTCCCGAGTTCTAGCCACACCACACCTAGTCCTGGTGCCACGGGAGGTCCAGACTGAATGCAGGTGACCCCAAGCGGCCCGGCGGCCTTCGCGGGGCTGCCAGCCTTCACTGGGTCTCGGTGTGGGACAGACACCTTACATTTGGAAGAGGATGGGAGAAATGGAGAGCAGACAGGATGAACACCACCCAGAGTTTCTCAGGCCTGAGCAGAGCCCGTGTCCCTTCCCTCCGACAGGTATGCAGGGAGGGGCTGCAGCGCAGGGCGGGGCTGCCAGCCTGCTGAGACGGGGCCCTGGTCCCACGGCCATGGCTGTGGGTGTCTCTGAATGTCCAGGCTGCTGCCCCAACCTCCTCTCCGGCCACTTCTTCCAGCTGAGGAAGAGGAGGAGGCGGCTCCCTAGGAGGAAGGCAGGTCAGGGGAGGAGGCCAGGTCAGGTGGCTCTGGTTTCCAGGTCTCCAGCTGCCACCCTCGCCGCCCACCCCACTGAGCCATGCCACCCGCTCCCTTCACGCAACCAGACACCTTGGCCTGCTGAGGCTTCGATGCCGGCGCTGATAGGTGGGCTCAGGGCCATGGCAACAGGTGGACGCCTCTTCCCGCCCGCCAGCCTGGCCCGCCCTGCTCTCCCAGAGGGACCGGGACTTAGACAGGAGAGGTCTCCCCAACAGGCAGGAGGGTCTGGTGTTGGGCACCCACCAGCTGGACCTGACCAGAGAAAATGCGAGAATGAGCAGCTTCGTTGTCTAGGCCTAGGGGGGGCTCATAGCTCACAAGCCTCTGTGGAGCATGCTGCAGCTGGGAGCCCCCAGGCCCCGGGGCCGTGTCCCCCTGAGCAGCACCCGGCAGGTAGGGCTTGCCAGGACCGGCCCATCCGGAGATCTAGAGGGAACCAGAGGATCTCTGATCCCAGCCTGGGCCTGGTTCCGTCTTTCAGGATCTCCAGGAGACCAGGGCAGGGCAGGGCTGGTTGGACCACAGGAGGGCAGTGGGATGGGGGCAGGTGGCAGCAATAAGGCATTTTCTTGGTGGGCCACCCGGGCCTTGTCGGAGAGGAACTGGCCTGTTGGTCTGGCTTCTCTACAGGATCTCTACAGGCAGCATTCTCTTGCCCCCCCCCCCCACCTCCCACTCTTGCGTGAGGAAGTAGGCTGGTGGGAGGGAAGCTTGAACATCTTTGGTGGAAGTCCCAGTCGCCTGGTCCACCCTCTTGGCAATCAGAGATTACTGGGTGTTATGGAAAGGGGCCAAGACTGCATTATGGCTGGAGAGCCTGCCTCGATTTGGGGTGTTACCTGGGCCCTCAGGCCTCTCTCCTGGCTTCTCAGGCCCTTAGTCTTACAGGATCCAAGGCCTGGAAGGTGCAGCACCCCTCCTCCCAGCCATTGGATTCTCCACGGGGCCTGACTCACCTGCTTCCTCATCTCCCCATAGCCCGATCTGCTCAACTTCAAGAAGGGATGGATGTCGATCTTGGACGAGCCTGGAGAGGTAGGAGGGCGAAGTGGAGAGGAGGGGGGTGGCTGGGGCAGCCCAGGAGGCTGAGCTGCTTTCCTCACCTGTCCAGCCCTTCTGGAGACCATGGCTTCCTGGTGGGGGGAGGGGGGTGTCCACGGTGGGGGCCTGAAGTGAGAACTCTGAGGGCAGGGCTTTCTTGTCCAGCCTTGGTCTATGGGGGTGGGAGGGCGGAGGCTTCCTGGAGCAGTGTGCAGTGTGTAAGAGTCACCATGGAGGGAGGCCTCCTAGCTCCTCAGGCTCTGTACCCCATCCCCTCCTCTCACCAAGAACCTCTTGATGACCTCCTGGCTATCGGAGGGTGTGGGGGGAAGGGCTCTCAGATCACTGGGCCTGAGAAGCACAGATTGGTAACAGCTCTGTAGTGTAACAGCCCCCCCCCCCCCCCCCCCCCCCCCGCGGATGATGCTCAGAGCACATCTGAAGTCTCACCAACCTGGGGCCCATTGGTTAAATCACAGCTTTCCCTGGTCTCAGTGGCCACATCTGTGCTAGGGGCATAGTGGATGATGAGGATTCCCTCCAGGTGGACAACAGGCACAGGTGTCAAGCAGGCAGTGTCTCACATAGCCCCCAGTATCTGCTAGGACCTCAGTAATAACCCTCCCCTTTCTCTAACGTGTCTGTCCTTAGACCCAGAAGGGACAGCGCCTCTTTTGGGGTACTGCCCTTTCGGCTGCCATGCTGGAGCTGGAGCTGGCTCTCTGCCCACCCACCTTGGGAGGGAACGGCTCCCCACCCCTGCCCTGCATGCGCTCCTGGCTTTGGGCTGTGTGCAGCCCGCACGCCGGGAGGGCTGGGAGCCAAAGGGAATTGCATTGTGTTTCCTACCCACATGCTTTATCCCCTCTAACCCACAGCCTTCCGTACCCGCTGCCTGCTTGCCGGTCCTCTGGTGGCTGCGCTCCAGCCTCACACAAGGCCTGGCACCTTGCCCGTGACCCGTCCTGGCCTCCTACCCGGGGTCTCGGGAGGGCAGAGATTATGGGCTCCACCCAGCACTGGCCATTACTCATTCTCTCTCACGAAGTTTTGGAATGTCCGAGCTGGAAGGGCCCTGGGAGTTCCGCCAGCACAGCCCCTAGGTGCACAGACAGGAGACAGGCCCACAGGGCTTCCATCTCTCCCCGGCCCAGCAGTGCCTTGGGCAGACACAGGCCAGGCACTCGGGGCACCTCGGCCCACAGAGCTCCATCTAGTCCCCATCTTAGACAGGCCCAGACTGGGCCAAGGACATCATTTGGCACAGAACCCTTGCCCCACTTTACGAAGGGACAGTTGAGGTCTTGAGCTGCAATTCAGGCCGCTCAGTAAGAGCAGGGAGTCCTAAGAGGGCCAGCCTTTTAGAGCAATCAACAGCAATGAGCTGCCCCCCCTGGGCCAGGTGCCCGGAAGGACATACCAGGGAGGGGTAGGAACTTCTGACCTTACAAGAAGGCTTAGGGACTTCTTATTAGCCCTACTTTACAAATCTGAAGACTGAAGCTCAGAGAGAGAAAGATACTTGACTAAAGACACACAGCTAGGAAGGGATAAAATAGTTGTCTCTTGAATGCTAAGGAGAGGCAGTGTGGAAAGAAGTAGAAAATGTCATTCCGGCACATCCTTGAAAATGCACCATCTTCTCAAGGGGAAAAAACCCCTAAGTACTTGAAGTAGCAAACAGTGTGGATAGGGCTTGGGGATGTGTGGGAGTCCAAGGAGATGCTGGGGACTGCACTGACCCTGGCAGTGGGTGGACCTGATCTAGCATTCCAGCAAATGGCCAGAAGCCAGAGGGCCAAGCGTGGCACCGTTAATATCAGGCTGTACCAGGGCCCCCACCCCTTTCCTTTCTGATGTGTCCTGCTACCCTCACCCCAGCTGAGGCAGAGAGAAAGGCTCCGCAGAAAGGTGCCCAAATCCTAAATGTTCAGATAATGCATCTCACAAGTGAACACACGTGTAACCGGCACCCAGATCAAGAAACAGAATACGGCCAGATGCCTCCCCCTGGGCCACCGTCCAGTCCTGCTCTCTGGGAGTCCCTGGCGACAGGAGATCCAGGGGGGCATATGCAAAATAACGGAAGTTCTGGTCTCTGGCTTGCTAGGCAGATGACCTTACACAGGTCACAGTCCCTCCCTGGTCTACCCGGGGGGGGTTGGGGGGGGGCTTGCTTGTGGCGCCTCAGCGATCTGGTGGGGATGGGAATGGAAGTGTTCACAAAGCAGAGAAGAGCTCCCAGAAGGAAAGGGAAGGTGTGGCTCGGACGAGAAGTCAACCCATTTCATAGATGCTGCCCCTGCAGCTCAGAGAGGAGGAGGGCCAGGCATCAAATATGGATTTTCTGATGGCCCCTACCCCTCAGCAGAGTGGGTGAGGGTACTTGAGCAGAATGGTTGACCTGGCAGCACCCAGGGTGCCAGCAAAGTGGCACACGCATATTCTTCCATTCCACACTAGCACCCCTTACCACCATCTCTCCTTCACAGTGGAAGAAGCATTGGTTTGTGCTGACTGATTCAAGCCTCAAGTATTACAGGGACTCCACCGCTGAGGAGGTGAGACATCAGGTGCTGGGGGTCCCTGGAAGAGGCTTGGTGGGCTTGGGGGGGGTCACTGGCGTATATGGACCATCATCTTCTGGCTGTAGGCAGATGAGCTGGATGGCGAGATTGACCTGCGTTCCTGCACTGACGTCACCGAGTATGCAGTACAGCGCAACTATGGCTTCCAGATTCACGTGAGACTGTGCATCTGGGGGGTGGCATGACTGGAGGGCCCCAGAGCAGATGTTGGTGTGGAGCATGGCTGGCTCTGTCACTCATTTACCCAGAGACCCTGCCTCAGAGTCAGTCAGCTCTACTGTATATCTGAGGAGACCCCAGATATCATTGGCAGGGTCATTCAAATGTTGGGGAGACCTTGGAGCCCCTGGGACTCTTCCAAGACTGGGCTAGTGAAGGGGAGTATTGCTCCCTCTGCTCAACTCCAGGCTCAAGACCTTAGACTCTCTCTTGGGAGGGAAGGGCGACCTCCCTGGGGTTCATAGTGGGGAGGGAGCAGTGGTGCTGGCCACGTGGCAACCTACCTATGGGGTGGACTTGCAGACCAAGGATGCTGTCTATACCTTGTCGGCCATGACCTCAGGCATCCGGAGGAACTGGATCGAGGCTCTGAGGAAGACTGTGCGTCCCACCTCCGCCCCAGATGTCACCAAGTACGTGCTGGGTTGGTCCGGGGCTTGGAGAAGGCACTTGCCCTGCATCCCTGAGTGCTGTCCTGGCTCTCACCTGGGAGCCTCGGGCTATACCTTCTGGCCTCAGTTTCTCTAGCAACAAAACGCGCCGAGGGCAGTGCGCATTCTTGGCAGTCCTCCAAAATACGGTGAGGATTTGGGGTGTGACCGCTGTCCCTCTGTGCCCCCCACACCCTGAAAGGTGAAAGAGGCCTCAGCTCTTTGAGAAGATGGCAGTGAGTCAGAGGCCCCTCTCAGGTGGCTGATAGTGCTGTGTGGGCTGCGGCTCATCCTGTGCTAAGGGGAGGGGATGGCTGGGCGTCTGGGAGGGGGACTCCCTCCCTCCGCAGGTCACTGTGGGGAGAGTAGTGGGAGGGCTCAGTTACCTGGTGGAGAGCTCCCTCACAGTATAGACCCCCGACGCCCATAAGGGGCTAGGACTTGTGGCTGCTGGACAGCAGGAATGGAAACATGACATTGAGGGGTGTCACGCGTGAGTCCCTCTGTCTGGCCACAGCCTGGCTGTTCAACCTCAGTCCAGTCACCTTCTTGTCTGAGTTTCAGACACTTCATTTGTCAGACTATCATGAGAATATGCATAGAAGCCCTTTGTGAACTGAAGCGCAGTGCAGCTGGATTATTACTTAGTATATAGGCTCGGCTGCTGTAACAAAGAGGCCCCAAACACACTGATTTTACGCAGGAGAGGTTTATTTCTTCAGAGCGGTCCAGTGGCGTGTAGTCCAGACCAGCTCTGTGACCCTCAACTCATAGCTTTGCCTCTGACTCAGGAAGCTGCTTACATTCTCCTACAGTGCCAGCAGGAGCCAGGCCAGGGCACACCCAGTCCTTTAAAGGTGCCACCTCTCACTTCCACTGGGCAAAATGTAGGTACATGGCCCTACATAGCTGCAAGGGATGCTGGGAAGTATAGTTTTGGGGTGAGTGTTACAGAAGAAGAGTACTGCCACAGTTGTTAAGTCTCCACAATTTGTGCCTATGCACCAGAGGTCACTGTTCACCCGCTTGGCAGTGACCCTGGGCGTCTCCCCTATTCCACTGTGAGTCTTTTGAACCCAGGATCTTATCTCAAACCATACTTTTAATAATAATGATCTGATCACCATTCTTAATGGGCTTCCTGGTTGCTTTCACACACTCGCTCACCTAGTCCTCTTATTCTTCCTGTGAGAAGAATTGTCCCATATTACAGATGAGTGACTGAGCTCAGAGGGGAGCCAGATATTCTGGTCCCTCTGCTGGTGGGTGTGGAGTTGGGATGGCTCCCAGGGTGTGTGAATGATGAAGCGCTAGTTCTGACCTCTGGGTTCAGCTGCTTCCTCTGCTGGGGTTCATCCCAGGGCTCAGGCACACGGTGACACTCCAGGAGTGCTTGTTTGGGGACTGAGCGGGCAAGATCCTGCCTGACGTGGCTCTGCTGGCCCCCTAGGCTCTCGGACTGCAATAAAGAGAACACGCTGCACAGCTACAGCACCCAGAAGGGCCCCCTGAAGGTGGGGGAGCAGCGTGCGGGCTCTGAGGTCATCAGTCGGGGCACTCCTCGGAAGGCGGATGGACAGCGGCCATCCTTGGACTACGTGGAGCTCTCCCCACTGTCTCAGGGCTCCCCCCAGCGGGCCCGCACCCCGGCTCGCACTCTTGACCGCCCAGCCAAACAGGAGGAGTTGGAACGGGACCTGGCCCATCGCTCTGAGGAGCGACGCAAATGGTTTGAGGCCGTGGACAGCAAGACCACAGAGACACCTGCTGGCGAAGGCCCACGCCGGGGCCTGGGTGCCCCCCTGACCGAGGACCAGCAGAGTCGGCTCAGCGAGGAGATCGAGAAGAAGTGGCAGGAGCTGGAGAAACTGCCCCTGCGGGAGAACAAGCGGGTGCCTCTCACCGCCCTGCTCAACCAAAGCCGTGGGGAGCGCCGGGGGCCCCCTAGTGACAGCCATGAGGCACTGGAGAAGGAGGTAGACATCATGGCTGGCCTCTGGGAACCCCCTTACCCCACCAACACCCCTCCTATCCCTATAGTTATGCTATAGCATTTATCATGCAAACCTACAGTGATGGGCGCTCGCTCCTGATTCACTGGCTGACACCTCAGACTCCTCTGTGAACTGGAATCTTCTTTTCTATGCCTTGAGGTGTTTATTGTTTTTAAAAAGCATTTTTATTGATTTTTAGAGAGAGAGGGAGGGAGGGAGAGAGAGAGAAACATAGATGTGAAAGCAGAATATCAATTGGCTGCCTTCTGCACACCCTTCACTGGGTCTCAAGCCTGCAACCTGGCTTGTGCCCTGGCCAGTAATCAAGTTGGCAACCTCTCAGGGCACAGGACAATGTCCAACCAAATGAGCCACACAGGCCAGGGCTGGATTTTTATTTATTTATTTATTTATTTATTTATTTATTTTTTTTAATATTTTGCCTCTTAGTTCTGTCCTCCGCCATCACACAGAAGGGAATAGAGAAGAAAAAGGAGAGGCCATTTATTGAGTATCTCGCCCTTGGCCCTCTTTACAAACAGGCTCACGTATGTTCACAGCAGTCTCATGGTCCCATAGGGCATATCTCATCACAGTTTTACTGATGGGAAGCTGAAGCTCAAAGACATTTCCCCTGCCACCTACATAACGTACATGTCTGGGCCACAGTGTTCTGTTCCCAGCCCTGTGTAGTCTTCTCTGGGCCAGGGCTCCTCTGGCTCATTGACCCTGCCATCCAGGACACAGCTGGAATGTCCTCTGGCCTGCACATCCTCACCAGGGCCACGTCTCCTCGAATCCACAGCTCCACGCTGCCTCCGCCAGCCCTCCCTCTGCTTCCAGGCCCCACTGACCGCATCTCCCTTCACAGGTCCTGTCTCTTCGTGCCCAGCTGGAGGCGTGGCGTCTAAAGGGGGAGGCTCCTCAGGGCGCGCCCCGGTCCCAGGAGGATGGTCACGTCCCCCCAGGCTACATCTCGCAGGTGAGGCTGAAGAGCTGCTTTCTGGGGGACGGGGGCAAGTTTCTGTTCGCCATGTTTTCAGAAAAGAGCTAATATTTTGGAAGCCCTTCCTGTGTACCAGAACATGGGAGGCACTTGACAAGCATTGTCTCATTCAATCTCTCCAGCGGGTGGACATGCGCATTGTGCCCGTTTTATAGACAGGCTGTGAGAGGTTACGGGACCTGCCCAAGGTCAGCTGGCCTGCAGCTGTCAGAGGTGGGATTTAAGCTCAGGTCTGACTGACAGCCCTCGTGTGACACCCTGCACTGGGACCACTTTCCTCACACCACCCTGGGGAGCTCCAATGGGCAGGCCCCTGGGAGGTGCTCCCTAAACAGGGAACTCCTGCCCATGCCTGCCAGGCCGAGGCCCTCACAAGATGGCCTTTGGGACTTGGGAGTTCCCAATGGCCCCCAGGGAAACATGCGGTCTGCTGAGGGCAGCAGTTCTCAGCTGAGGCCGATTTTGTTCCCCTGGGGCGGTGGTCGGCAAACTGCCGCTCACAGCCACATGCGGCTCTTTGGCCCCTTAATGTGGCTCTTCCACAGAATACCATGGCCCGGAGGAGTCTCTTTTGAAGAAGTGGTGTTAGAAGAAGTTTAAGTTTAAAAAATTTGGCTCTCAAAAGAAATTTCGGTCGTTGTACTGTTGATATTTGGCTCTGTTGACTAATGAGTTTGCCGACCACTGCCCTGGGGACATTTGGCCATGTCTGGGAACAACTAGCCTTCCAGAAAAAATACATCTATGTGTACACACATGCACACTTATATATGGTTTATCCTATATAATAAATGGCTAATATGCAGATCAACCGAAGTGGAACTATTGGTCACAATGATGATGTGAACTGACCACCAGGAGACAGATGCTCAATACAGGAGGTGCCCCCTGGTGGTCAGTGCGCTCCCACAGGGGGAGTGTTGCTTGGGCTCATGGCTAGCAAGTGCAGTGGCAGCGGCTGTGGGCAGTGGCCAGTGGCCAGTGGTGGAGTCTCTCCTGCCTCTGCAGCAGCATTAAAGACCCCTAGTGGCCGGGCGGGGGGTGCAGGGGTGGGGGGGGAGGGGAAATGTCTGACTGCTGACTTAGGCCTGCTCCCCACAAGCCAGGAGGATGGATCCCCACCCCACCCCCCGCCCCCTGCATGAATGTCATACACCGGGCCTCTAGTATATATATATATATATTACTGATACAAAAGATGTTTAGTATACAACTTACAAATAAAAAATCAGTAATACTTTTTATTGTAACTTCTATATAGCAAATTGATCTTTCTCTTAATACTTTCATTGGTTTTTCCGAATGCTTGTATCCACAGCTAACTGACAAGCGAGTGTCATTCTAACATGAATGTTGGTTGACATTTTTATTTATGTGGAGAGTAAGACGAGAAACATATTGAAGCTTTACTTGGTCAATGTCATGAGCAATTTTTTGGTTGAATTGGGAAATAGTTCTCTATTGAGAATATTTTCTTAAGAGTATTCCCTCAGGTTTTTGTTCTACTTACAGTGTAATGGTCATAGATATGGCAAACTTAAATTTAATCTGCATTACTAGCATTTTCTCATCCTTGCGTAAGTCTAGACTATCAAAAAATAAATCGAGTCCTGATTGTAATGTTTACCAATGTCCATGGTGTAAATACTCCCACGTGGCTGAGGACCTGAGCACGGAGTTGGGAAGATATGTCACACCCATTAGAGAGCATTTCCACACAGACACAGAAGAGAAGTAACCGCGGGAGCATAGACAATAATAAACTGCAGTGAGATCATTAAGAAGAGATGTTTGGAGTATCAGCATTGTTTTGAATATAATTAACTATAAGCTTATATAATATTTAATAATGGCCTGCTTAACTGTGTCACAAAATTCCTAAAAACTTGATGATCAGCTGCCTCTAGTCAGCACATCATTGCCTGAAGCAGAAAAGGATGCTGGGATCCCAGGCTCTGAGCAGAGGGACCTTCCAGGAGTTCCAGGCGGGAGGTTGCTGTGCGGGCTCTCGGGAAGCTTCTGGGGCGGGCCCGGAGCTGAGCACTGGGGCGGGCAGGGGCATGGGCTCTGGTGGAAGGCTGGCGGGTGCCTATCCTGGAGACCTCCGCTGCCAAGCCAGGGGTTTGGATCTTTCCCACACACTGAGGAGGTTTGGGGTGATGCTGGGAGGGTGGTGGTGGAGTGGGAGGAGCCAAGGCCATGGCAGGAGCTGGGATGATGACTGAGGGTGAGCAGGATGTAGGAGGGTGAAGAAGGGGGACAGTGTAGGAGTGGGTGCCTGGGTCTAAGGAAGGCAGAGGGGAGCCCCCTAAGGCTGGGGTTGCTGTCCAGGCATGGGGACCATCTGGGGCGTGTGGTTCAGCTGAACGAAGACCAGGGCCTAGGGAGTTGGGGCTTGACATGAAGGGCCAGCTTGGGAGTCACCTGATATGTGGAAGGGGGGAGGGCAGGAGTCAGTGTTGTGAAAGGCTCCCTTGAGGCGAGAGGAAGGGGTGGCCTGAGAGCTGGCGTCCCCTCAGGACCCCCACGAGCTGTGCTCTGTGGAGCTGTGGTCTCCCGGGACCGCTTCTCTGGGTGGGTGAGCAGAGCAGCTCCGCCTTTGTCCATTTTACTATTCGAACCTGCATTAGATTTCCTTTGGAAAAAGGTTTCTGTTGCCAAAATTAAATTCGAAAAGCACTTCTCTGACTTCTCAGCATACAGATAGGGAAACTGAGGCCCAGAGAGGAGGCTAGACCTTTGACCTGGAGTCAGACCAGGGCTGCGGGCACTTGGTCATGCGAGGCTGGGGTGGTAGGTGGGCAGGCAGAACCGAGGGGCGTTGAGAAGGGAATGAAGGGGAACCGGAGGCAGAAGACGGGAGTGGAGCCGTGGCTCAGGACGCCGAGGGCGCCAGGGAAGAGGAGCTGAGCCACCTGTGTCCCCCTCAGGCCTGGAGGAAGCGGCTGGAGGTTCAGTGGACCCCGGAGAGGTGACAGCAGGGAGGGATCCCCAACCTGGTATCTCAGGCCGAGTGGTGCCCCTCTTTTAGCTGTAGGGCTTGCCACCACAGGGCAGCAGCTGCGGGTCTGGGAACCCTTCCATCCTAGTGCAGTGGGGATCACGGGCATTTCTGAGTCCACGTTGGTCCACGTCAGAGGTGGCAGCTGACACCTTGGGCCCACAGGAAGGTGGGTCAGAGCGCAGCACCTGACCTTCTAGGAGTCCCTCATCCTGGGCTGGCTCCCACCCTGACACCAGCCTCCTCTCCCCATTAGCTTCTGGCTCTGCCTCCTGATATGAGCCTTTGAGAGCAGATCCCCATCCCCCCACCCCCATTTTTCCGATCTCTGCAGGTGGGTGGGCGCTAGGTTACCTTAGGACACTCAGGAGTTGGTCTTATGAGGCCTGTTTTACCGATAAGGAGACTGAGGCTCAGAGAGGGAAGAGGCTCAAGTTCATTCCACAGAACAGCCAGGATTAGGACTCCAAAGCAGGTCTATTGTCCTAACTAGAGGGACCTACAGAGGGCATGCGCACAGTCCCAGAGAGACAGGTGCCCCTGCTCGCTGCCTAGAACACCTGGACCCCTTGCCCTTCCCCCAGAGTGGCCTCGCAGGTGTGGCTGTGGCTGCCGGAGAGGTGGGGGCCACCTGAGGCCCTGTGCCATGGAGAATTCAATTCTTTTTAAAAATACATACGTGTGATTTTTAGGGAGAGGGAGAGAGAGAAACATCCATCAGATGCCTTCTGCATGCACCCTACTGGAGATCAAGCATGTGCCCTGAGGGGGAATCGAACTCTTGGTGCATGGGACAACGATCAATCCACTGAGCGACACTGGCCAGGCGAGAATACAGCCTCTTAACTGGCCCTTTGTGCCTTGGTTCTTCCCAGCTCTTTACCTTCCCTTTTCAGCTATCTTAATTTTTTTTATTCTCACCCAGGGCGATGGTTTTTTTCATTGATTTTACTTTGAGAGGAAGGGAGAGAGAGACAGAAAAATATCTACGTGAAAGAAACCGGCTCATCAGCTGCCTGCTGTACACGCCCTGACCTGGAATTGAACCTGCAACCTTTTTGATATACAGAATGACGCTCCAACCAGCTGAGCCACCCAGCCAGGGCCTTAAATATTTTTTAATTATATAAGAAATTATATAAGAAATTATTTACATTTTCATAAATAATTCAAACAAATTAGAAGGTTATAAACAAACACATGAACTCTCCTTCCCCTGCCTGCTCTCCGGTGCCCCACAGGGGTGGCCGAGAGCACCATCAGAGCACGTCTGTAGTTTTCTGTGCCGCCTCGGTTTTGGAGGGTAGAAGTCTAGCATGGGTCTCGCCAGGCTACAAGCCAGGCACCCGCAGAACTGCATTTCCTGTGAGCTCTGGATGCGATCCGGTTTCTCGCCTTTTCCAGCATCCGGTGGCTGCCCACCTTCCGTGGCTCACGGCCATTCCTTCATCTTTAAAGAGAGCAAAGGGGTCAGGTCCTCACTTCACATCACTCTACCTCCTTCCACAGCCATTCCCCACCCCGCTCTCTGCTCTCCTGTCTCTTCTGCATCTACGGACCGCGATCCCTGCCAGTCCGTAACCCAGGAGGGAGAGTCTCCTATTTAAGGCCATCCAGCAAGCTCAGCCCCCCTCCGCCGCAGCACAGGTAATAGTCACAGGTTCCCGAGCGGGACACGGACATCTCTGGGGCCCAGTCCTCTGCCTGCAGGCATCCTTCCTTACCTTTTCTGTGATTTTGTGTCCATGTACCCAGATGTCCAGCTCCATGGGTTGTACGTTGTCAGAAACCTGCTTTTATCACCTAACTTTCCATATCCTTCCCCAGCTGTCCATGTGCGCAGAGCCTTCTACCAGCCGCCGGAGTCTTTGTAAGGCTCGATCTCATGATTTATTGAAGGGTTGTTTATTTAGGTGGTTTCCAGTTCTTGTCTGTTGCCGATCTTTGTACACGTGACTTTCTCTGGGGTCATTCTTACAAGTGGACCCGCTAGGTCAAGGGATAGGGTCATTAAAAATGCATCGACGCTATCAAACTGCCCTCCACGAACCCCATCACAGCGACTCTCCCAGCAGTGGTATTAGCAGGCTTTTAAATGCTGGCCAGTCTGTCCTAGCCAGTTTAGCTCAGTGAATAGAGTGTCAGCCTGTGAACTGAGGGTCCTAGGTTCGATTCCGGTCACATGCCCGGGTTGTGAGCTTGATCCCAGTGTGGAGCATGCAGGAAGCAGCTGATCAATGATTTTTCTCTCATCATTGATGTTTCTATCTCTCCCTTTCTGAAATCAATAAAAAAATATGTACATTAAAAAAAAAATACTGGCTAGTCTGATCCACAAGGCCCTGTTCTGTGATTTCATAAATTTCAGCTCCCTTCCCCAGCACCTGCCACACGTCAGGCCCCGTCCTGGGCCCTGTGTCCTCAGGGGACTTACATCTGGCAGATGCAAGGCCTTTGGTGGCAGGAGAGAGGTTTTCAGAGACAGAGCTAAGAAGGTATTTAGCGGGGCTGCAAATGAAGTGAGTTAACCCCAGGAAAAGAAAGATGGAAAAGAACGTTCCAGGCGGTGGAAAGCAGGAGCTAAAGCTCAGGTGTGAGCACACTGAGTTGTTTTTCATAACGAGGGGGTTTCTTGGTGAGGTAAAGGGCAGGGATGAGGCTGCAAGAGTCAGGCGTGTGAAGCAGAATGACAGGCTGAGGCCTGCAGATGGAGGACAGAGGAGGTGCTGGGTACAGGCTGGTGGTGCTGGGGTCCAGAGGAAGCCTGGACCAGGGTAGGCCCGCCTACCTCAGGCTGGAGAGCAGCCCGTGACCCCTGCCCTGCCCGCAGGAGGCCTGGGAGCGCAGCCTGGCCGAGATGGAGTCCTCCCACCAGCAGGTGATGGAAGAGCTGCAGCGGCACCACGAGCGGGAGCTGCAGCGGCTGCAGCAGGAGAAGGAGTGGCTCCTGGCCGAGGAGACGGCCGCCACGGCCTCAGGTGAGGACCCGGGAGGGAGTGGCACAGTGGGCGTGGCCTCACAAACCTCTAAGCAGAGGCCGCCTCACCGGGTTTGGGAGGCTGTTAATCAGAGGCTGGGGTCTTGGTGCTAGACTTAGGGTGAGTTGAAGCCCCCAGAATTGGCTTCTGGACCTACTGAAAAAGAGGGAAATGCAGGCCCTCAGAAGGCTCATTGTGATCCAGGCCTGTGCCCAAGCTGGTGCCATGTCCTGGCGGAGAGACTGCTTAGCCTTAGACCCAGTTTTCATACCGGGGCCCTCTTATTGGGCACACAGGCTGGACCCCCGGGAGAGCAGGGAGGGGTGTGAGCAGTCCTGGTCCTTGCAGTGCCCAGGAGAGTCACCCATTTCACAGATGAGGAGACTGGCTCAGAGGTTAGGGATCTGACCCAAGTAGCACAGCTTAGAGGTGGCAGAAGCTGGAGTTGGAGCCCAGAGCACACTGCCTGCAAAGCCATGCTCTGAACCCACCCTCTGCTCTCCCAAGCCAGACAGGAATGCCAGCCAAGTGTGGGGTCCCCCTCTCCCCGGCGCCTGGTACATCTCACACACCTCCGGGCGCTTTAGAATAATGGGAATGATGAAGCGATCACACGATCTAGAGCTTACACCTGCTAAGTGCTTGACACACTCCAGCCCTTGCCCTTCATTGCAGACCTTGGGGCCATGTGTTTTGCTTTTAGGAAGATAACCTGGTGCATATATTATAGTAGGTGTCTGAGCAGGATCTGAGCCTCACCCTGAAGTCTAGCACTAGGTGGTTTGCAGTGCAATTTCTCAAGGTCACCCTTAAGTGGGACCTCAGATAGCCTCATGTCCATTTAAGCCGGGGATTGTTTTACCAAAAGGGTCATGAAAAACTCCCAGCGTTCAGAGCTTTAGGGTTTTGGAATTACAGATAAGACGATGGTTGAGGACTTGTTTAATTCTGAAGCAACCCCATGTAAGTGAAAAGAGACTCAGTCCTTGGGAGCTCACAGCCTGAAAAATAACCCAAAAGCTAATGTCTGGGCTGCGTGTTGTTTGAAATGCAAAGGTGCTGGCGGAGCAGTACTCACAGAAGTGCCTGGAGATCAGCACCCTGACTCCACACATCTCCCACTCACTCCTGAAGGGAGGTGCTGTTGCTAACCCCACTTTCTGGATTAGGGCCTGAGGCACAGAGGATTTAATCCCCTGAGCAAAGTCACCTAGATGTGTTATCAACTGAGCCGGTACTCTTGTCCACTAAGCTGGGCAAGACATGGATCTTTTTGTTTTGTTTTTTTAAATATATGTTATTGACTTTTCTACAGAGAGGAAGGGAGAGGAATAGAGAGTTAGAAACATCAATGAGAGAGGAACATTGATCAGCTGCCATCTACACACCCCCTACTGGGGATGTGCCCGCAACCAAGGTACATGCCCTTGACCGGAATCAAACCTGGGACCCTTCAGTCCGCAGGCCGACGCTCTATCCACTGAGCCAAACCGGTTTTGGCAAGACAGGTGGGTCTTGTTAAAGGACCCTCCGGGCTGTGCAGGGACAGGACTGTGTGGGCTTTCCCAGCATCACTAGCAGAAGGTACCAGTGCTCAGACACCAGGTGTCTCCCCAGCAGGGTCCATCAGACAGAGATTGTGATCCTCTCCTGCTAGACAGGCTCAGGAAGGCCGAGCCACTCACCCAAAGCCACGTAGCTCACAACACAGCCTGGCCCAGGCTCTGTGTGTGCCCTGCCTGCTCCTGTGCAGGTGCGTCTCAGAGGAGGTGAGGCTGGTGCTGACCCTCACTTCTCTGTTCCCAGCCATCGAAGCCATGAAGAAGGCCTACCAGGAGGAGCTGAGCCGGGAGCTGAACAAGACGCGGAGCCTCCAGCAGGGCCCAGATGGCCTCCGGAAGCAGCACCAGTGAGATGGCACTTGGGCCCTGGGGTCTGTGGGCTGGGCCGCCTCCTGAGCCTGGGCCCCAGCTGCCTACACTGGCGGTTATGAGTCAGGGACCTGTGCTGACGGCCCTGGGCAAAGGATACGTCAGTTTGCCCCCAACTGAGACGCCCCCTGTCGTCATTGTGGCACCTGAACAGAAGCAGCAGGGCCTTAGTCAGACCTCCATGCCACCCACAGAGACAGTTCTTCAGGCTACAGTTCTGACCCTTCTTACCAGGCTGGTCTCGGCCTCCGCACCCCTGCCTCCTCGTTATTGCCCCCTAGAGCTGGCTGCAGTGTCACCCTCGGCCAGTCCCTGTCCTGCCCCAGAGCACAGTTCAGAGGCTGCAGAGATGGGCTCCTCCAGCCCACCCCTCACAGGAGAGCCTCCTGCAGCACGAGAGGCTGTCACCGGTCAGAGCCCCCGAGCTGGGCGCGAAACAGAATGAGGGCGGGAGCTCAGGAGCTGCTTGGAGTTCACCGTGACCTGGCTCTGAGCTTGGCAGAGGGCAAGCGAGCCCCCATCCGTCATTGTTCCCTCCTCGGCCTGGGCAGGTCAGACATGGAGGCGCTGAAGCGGGAGCTGCAGGTGCTGTCGGAGCAGTACTCCCAGAAGTGCCTGGAGATCGGCACCCTGACGCTGCAGGCCGAGGAGCGCGAGCACACGCTGCGCTGCTGCCAGCAGGAGGGCCAGGAGCTGCTGCGCCACAACCAGGTGGGCCCGGCCCGGTGGGCGGGGGCGGGCGCCCTGCAGCCCTGCGCTGACCACCCACCCCCCTCCAGGAGCTGCACGCCCGCCTGTCCGAGGAGATTGACCGGCTGCGCGGCTTCGTCGCCTCCCAGGGCGCTGGCAGCGGCCGCGGGCACAACGAGCGGAGCTCCTGTGAGCTGGAGGTAGGTGCCCACCGCGCACCCCGCTGGTCCTCGGGGCCTCGGCCTGGGGAGGGCACCTGGGGCTGGGCCCCAGCACGGAGACGCCAGCACCCTGGGGAGGACCTGCTGTGTGCGCTGCCCTGCTGCAGCCAGAGTCCAGCCTCCCACCTCTGCTGTGTGATCGGACCGGTTGCCTCGCCTTTCCCAGAAGCTCATCTGTAAAATGGGGCTACGCACCTTTCTTACTGGGAGAAGCTGCAGTGAGAAAATGTGGGCGTGATCTCAGGATCACCCTGATATTTTATTTTACAAACACTTATATACGGTTTCACTCTGTGCCTGGAACTTCTGTAAGCCGAAGTTCTTAACTCACCGAGTCTTCCTAACAGCCCTAGGAGGTACATGCTGTTACTGTCCCCATTTTACAGGTAAGAAAACAGACACAAGGAGGTCAAGTACCTTGCCCAAGGTCACACAGATAGTTGGTGTGGGAACTGGGATTCCAACCCAGCAGTCTGGTTCCAGAGTCTAAGCTTTTAGACGTCCGGCTGAACTGTGTCCTCCTCAGTGAACTCCGGACAGCAGCCCCCGCCCCTCAGGGTCTGGGGAGGGCGTAATGAGGTGGTTTGCAGAGTCCCAGCCTCCTGGTCCAGAGGAGGGCCATACCATGCTTCCTTTCTCTCTCTCTTGTTGATTTTTTTTTTTATATATATATATATTTTATTGATTTTTCACAGAGAGGAAGAGAGAGGGATAGAGAGTAGAAACATTGATGAGAGAGAATCATCGATCAGCTGCCTCTTGCACACCCCCTACTGGGGATGTGCCCACAACCAAGATACATACCCTTGACCAGAATTGAACCCGGGACCTTTCAGTCCGCAGGCCGACTCTCTATCCACTGAGCCAAACCGGTCCCGGCTTCCTTTCTCTTCTTTGCTCTCAAGCTGAGGGCCTGTGCTATGGTGGGATGGGTGAGAGGACTCCCTGGGGAGTGTGCCCAGGGGTAGTGGGTGGGTCTCAGCACAGGTTGGGAGCTGCGTTCTCAGGGCCTGAGGCAAGGAGACGGCCGGCTGCGGTGCCCTGGGCTGGTAGCGCTGGCCTCTGGTCCTGGGTTAGCGTGCTCCTGTGACCCCAGGTGCTGCTGCGAGTGAAGGAGAACGAACTTCAGTACCTGAAGAAGGAGGTGCAGTGCCTCCGGGACGAGCTCCAGATGATGCAGAAGGTAGGTCCTGGCTGAAGCAGGGTGTTCGTGGGGAGGGGAATGGACCTGGGGATACAGCTGGATGCCCCATCCTGTGAACACCTGCTCTGTGCCAGGCACTCCCCGGGCCTCTCCCCGGAGGTGTCATCCTCATTTATTGTACAAAGAAGCAGGCTAAGAAAGGGGGACTTGCTCAAGGCCACACTTGCTTTTTTTTATTCAGCAAATATTTATTGAGCACCTACTATGTGCCAGGCATGGTGCTAGGTGCTGGGGAGACACCTGTGAGCAAAGAGGCCAACATCCCTGCCTGTGCAGAGCGTGCATTTCGGGGAGCAAGCCATGTTGCCGGAGGTGGAGGGGGAGTAGAGGAAGGAGTACTGGGATTCAGGACCAGGCCTGTGAGTGTGTGGTTTGCCTGGTGCCATGTCGCTGTGTGTTTGACATTCTCTGTGTGTCAATAGCTCTGAGACCGTGTAGGAGTCAGACTCATGGAACGGGGCCAAGTATTGGGCCACACTGCCCTGCTCCTCCCCCCGCCACTGGTTGCAGTGTGGTCTTGGGCAGACGCTTCAGCTGCCTGAGCCTCAGCTCTCACGTTGAGTAGGTTGCAAATGCTGAAACCTGGGGCGCTGGGAGAGGTGTGTCCAGGCCGGGACGCCAAGGGGACCTCCTGGAGGGAGAAGGCCCTGGGGACTGCGGAGGCCTGGCTGCTTGGTGTGGCCAGGAGGGGCATGGTGGGCATGTGCCGAGTGGGCAGGGCCAGGGAGGGAGGGCTCTGTGCCCTTATAGCCCCTGCCCCCCCCCCAGGACAAGCGCTTCACCTCAGGAAAGTACCAGGATGTGTACGTGGAGCTAAACCACATCAAGACCCGGTCGGAGCGGGAGATCGAGCAGCTGAAGGAGCACCTGCGCCTCGCCATGGCTGCCCTGCAGGAGAAGGAGGCCATGCGCAACAGCGTGGCCGAGTAGAGGTGTGCGCTCAGGGCTGTCCACCCGCAGGGCTCTTCCTTTTCCTGGCCTCGGCTTCCCTTCCCACCGGCTGGGACAGGCACTTAACGCTGCCACAGCCACAGCTGATCTGTCCTGCCCTCCTCAGGCCTGGCAGCAGGGCACACGTCACTAACAGTCCTCCTTCCACCGAGCTCTGCGCTCGGACCTCACTGACAGGGCAGCTCCCTCTTTCTGACAAGTCCGGGGAGGCCACCTGCGGCCGCTGTGGGGAGGCCTGGGGGACAGAGCTGGCCCGGCCTTTGGGGCCAAGAGGTGTGAGAGGACTTGCTGGCCGCCCTTGCCTAAGCCGCGCTGGGGCCCAGGACCAAACGGGTTTCCCCAGCCCTCACCGCCCACTCTCACCTTCCAGGTCCGCTGGTTCGGCCCAGCTGCAGACTCCCAGCCCAAGGGACCAGATGCCCTCCTTCCCTGCTGGATGGAAGTCAGAAGCCAAGCTTTCTCCCCACCCTCTGTGGGCTACACGTGCACTCACAACTGTCACACACATGCACACACACAGGCACACACACATTCTGCACAGGCATGCACACCGCACAGGTACACACACACCACACACCTGCACAGGTACACACACACTGTTCAGGCACATACACGCGCGCGCACGCGCGCGCGCGCATACACACAGGCACTGCATAGACACAGGCACCACAAGGCATACACACACACTCAGGAGCATACATGCACAGGCATGCACATGTACACCACAGACATGCACAGGTGCACGCACACACACACTCTGCGTATCTGAGCGTGCCCCTCGCACTGGGTCTTCTTACCTTGCACCTTCTTCAGGATTTTATATGTGAAGAGATTTTTATATATAGACTTTTTCCTCCCCCCCCCCCCCCAAAAAAAAATACGTTGTACTTTTTAAAAAGCAATTCCTGGTGGCCTTGTGCCTCCAGCGCTGGCTCCCCGCCTCCAGCCTCCAGTTTGGGCTCCTGGGCCCGTGGCCCTGTCCTGGTGGGAGAGGCAAGGAGCCAGCCACCCTCCTCCCACCCTACCTCCTGCTAATTACTTCCTGCCCTGGAGCATCCTGCACCCTGGGCCTCTGGACAGAGGGACAGACGGACGGGGAGCCGGCCTCTGCCTCCAGGGCCCCACCTCCCCCTCAGGGTGCTGGGCGTGGAACCTGGAACTGCCCTGAAGGCGTTTTCTCCTGCTCCACCGCCTTCTTAACTTAATAAAGTGTTCCTGCAGCTCTGTGTCCCAACGGCTGGTTCCGCCCCTCTGCCCAGCGGGCACCCCCCTGCAGGGGGCCTGTGGGCTTCTGAGGGTCTAGCTCCCCCTCCAGGCGATGCTCTGCAGACCAGCACCGGCACCCACCAGGGAGCCGGTTAGAAACACCAGGTCCAGGTCACACCCCACTATGGACTCGGCGCCTGCACTGCCTCAGTCCCAGTGGCTCATGCACCTCTGGAGGCCCTGGGGCGGCGCTGGGCCCAGTCCCCCCCCCCCCCCCCACCCCCAGCCTCCATCCATGGGCGCCCTTCAGCCCCGTCACTGAGGCTGTGCCCAGAGGCCATGCTCAGCCCTGGACAGGCAGGTGGGAGGCCTCGTCTTGGCTGACGGGACGTGCTGATCAAGGTCACGTGTGGGTTGGAACAGGCCCCCCTGAGTCACCTGGGCCCAGGCCAGCTGTCCAACAGGCAGGGCTGTGGCTGAGGTGATGGAGACATAGGACAATTTGAGCCAGCTTCACCCTCAGGGCTGTTCCCATCAATCCCCGGGGTCTCAGGCCGGGCGCCGGTGCGTAGAGGTGAACAGAACTGGCCTGGCCCACTACAGCCACGTCGGGTTGGGTCCTAGGAGGCTGTGGGAATGGAGGAGGCAAGTGGGACAGCACCAGCAGAGGCCTGTGAACATCCTGGTGTTCAGGGAGAGACCCACGGGCCGTCCTGATGGGGGTGGGGAACGGGCCCGGTTCCCTTGCCAGCGGGGGGTAAGGAGGGCACGGGTGCAGTTCCAGTCCCGGAGGTTCAGGAAGTCTTGGCTGGAGGTGGAGGGCGGGGGGGTCATTTGGGAGGTCTTCCTTCCCCTTAAAAGTGTCCTAAGCCGTGGCTGGTGTGGCTCAGTTGGAATGTCGTCTGTGCACTGAAGAGTTGGGTTCGATTCCCTGTCAGGACTCATGCCCAGGTTACAGGTTTGATCTCTGGTCAGGGCACAAACAGGAGGCAACCAATCATTCTTTCTCTTCTCCCTTCTCTTTCTCAAATCAATAAAAAACACATCCCGCCTTGGCTGATTGTTCTGTGGATAAAGTGTCCCAGGTTCAATTCCGCTTAAGGGCATGGACCTTGGTGCAGGCTCCTCCCCAGCCCCTGCCCTGGTCAGGGTGCATGTAGGAGGCAACCAATTGATATGTTTCTCTCACATCGATGTTTCTGTCTTTCCCTCTCTTCCATTCTCTAAAAGATCAAGGAAAAATATCCTGGGGTGAAGGTTACCAAATAATAAAAATTAAAAAAAAAAAAAACACTAAACATACCCTCCGGTAAGAATTTAAAAATGGGGGTGGGGGTTCATAAGGAAGGAGACCTCTCCCAGCCTTTGGACAGAGTTGGGTGAAGTCCTGACATTGCCACCATCTTGCCTCATTGATGTGTTAATAGTGGCTGAGCAGAAAGAATCAGGATCCTGAGCATCAGATCAACCTGCCTCTGGGCTTCCTGACCACGACATAAGGAGCATCCCAGAGCCACTCTGAGATGGAGTCAGCACTGGCAGCTCAGTATCCAGATAGTTGAGTCCAGATCCCCGCCCATCCTCCCTGTGCTGTTACCTCCCACCAGCCCTGGACATCCCTCAATTCCATCCTCTGCCTCCATGACTCCCACAGCCAACTCGGCTTCCCAGCGTGCACCTGGGCTGAGGCACCACCCTCTTCAGGGCCATCTGGGCAAGCTAAAAAAATCAGGCCAGTCATAACCAGTTTGGCTCAGTGGATAGAGCCTAGGCCTGTGGACTGAAAGGTCCCAGGTTTGATTCCAGTCAAGAGCATGTACCTTGGTTGCGGGCACATCCCCAGTAGGAGGTGTACAAGAGGCAGCTGATAAATGTTTCTCTCTCATCGATGTTTCTGACTCTATTCCTCTCCCTTTCTCTCTATAAAAAATCAATAAAATATATTTTAAAAATCAGGCCAGCATATGAAAAGGTGCTCCACTTTGAGATGTCACTCAACTTGAGAATAGCTCAAACTCAAGGCCTGATCATCTCCGGTGTCTGTGAGGATGTGGGACCTGGGTCCTCCTGAGCTGCTGGTGGCAGTGCCCTGCGGGCCATCACTGTGGGCCAGCGTAGGGCAGATCCTTAGAAATACACATCACCCCTATGATCTAGATTTCCACTCCGGCATATGCGCCCAAGAGCCATGTGCCTGAGGCCACAGAATGACTAGGACAGTAATGTTCGTAGCAGCCCAAAGCTGAGCACAATATGTCCGTCAACAGAATGAATGAATAAAGGATGTCATATTCATACTTTACCACATGTGTCAAACACAAGGCCCGCGGGCCAAATCCGTCCCGCCAGGCCTTGCAATGTGGCCCGCACCGCGCTGTCATCACTGCACTCCGCTGCGTTTCCATCACAATGACAGTTTATGACTGTTCAGTAAACCATTCGGCCCGCGATTTAGGCTGGATTTTAGATTTTGGCCCCTTCTCTGATTGAGTTCGACACCCCTACTTTAGACAGACTATATGGCAATGAGAAAATAATTACTGCTACGCGCAACATCTTGATAAACCTTCAGACATAATGCGAGAGAAAGACGCCAGCCACAAAGTTCAAGGACAGGCACACTGTCACTATGGCGATGGTCATGGACCTCTGGGCTGGGCCGGGGGCTCCTCCTGACTAGCAGTGGGCACAAAGGAATTCTCTGAGTGAGAGAAATATTCCATACCTTGACCGGGGTAGTGGTCACATTGGTGTGTACACACCTAAAATTTTGTGCATTTGACTGTGAATCATGTCTCAAAAAAAATCCTAGGTCCCGGCAGGTGCCGAGGTGAGCCGCCCGGGGAAAGCCCCAGCAACCTGTCACCCAGGGACTTTGGCCAAAACCACATGGCGTGGCTGACAGGCATGTCCTGTGGAAAGCGTGGGCTGGGGTGTCGCACAAACCTGCCCGCCTCCAGCTGGCTCACACCTCACCGGCTACACCCTACCTGGGCTTCGCTTCCCATCTGCTGTTTGTATTGTTTTTAATCCTCACCCAAGGGCATGCTTAGAGAGAGGTCGAAAGGGGGGGGGGGGGGCGGGGAGAGAGAAACAGTGTGAGAGAAACGTTAATTGGTTACTGACGGGGATGGAACTGAAACCCAGGTATGTGCCCTCTTGGGGATCGAACTGGCAACCCTTCAGGGCACAGGATGACGCTCCAACCAACGGCGCTGCTCTGGCAGGTTGCTCCCACCTGTGAGATGGGACCATGTTGACCTCAGAGGCTGTGTAGGTACTGAATTACCAGCTCCTTCAGCTGCCACAGCCTCGATGCCCAGAGCAGCTTCTGTGGTCAGGACGCAGGCCTGTGACTGCGCGGACCGGCCGCTTTCGGGGCGTCTCTTTGCAGTGGCCGTTGCTCCGTGGCTGGGCTGGAGCCACCGGAAGGCTCGCCGGGTTGAATGTCCAAAGTGGCTTCTTCCCTCGTCTGGTGCCTCCGCTGGGGTGACACGACAGGGACCCTGGACGTGCTCCGTGCGGCCTCTGCACGAGGCTGGCGCGGCTTCCTCGCTGCACGCAGCCCCCGGGGAGTCTGCAGTGACTTCCTACTCGGTCGTTGACCTCCGGGAGGAAGAGTTTCCAGAGGCCCAGCTGGAATGGCAGGCTCCTCATGACTTAGCCTTGGAAGTGCTGTGTGGTAGCTTTCATCACATTCGTCAAGACCGGGTCACAGATCAGCCTGAGGGCGGGGACTGATGCAGGGTGGTTCCCTGGAGCCGTTGTCCTTCTCTGGCCCCCTCTCCTCCTCCTCAGGCCACAGCGGCTGGGGAGCCCCGTGGGACAGAGCTTTGTCACTTCCTCATCACCGCTGAGTCAGATGTCACTCCACCCCCCTTTACTAAGGCCCAGAGCTCCAGTCTCCCAGCCCCACCCATCCAGGGGCACCATGACCACCCACCCTCTCAGCCCCAGGGGCCTGCAGTGCCTCTGGGGGGGGGGAGGGTAGGCGACAATGTCACCCATAGCGGCTCACCCTCAGGAAGCACTAAGGATGCAGACCCCATCCTCCTTTCCCCCCCAAATGCCCCGTTTATACCCCTGCCCCTGCTCTAACCCTCACGTGGGGAGGGGGGCAGGATGAGGAAGGAGTAGGAGCTCAGGGCTGCGGTCAGACAGCTCTTTGTCTGTATCCTTGTACTAGCTCTGCAAATTTGGGCAAGTTATACAGCTTCTCTGTGCCTCAGTCTCCTCTTCTGTAAAATGGGGAGAGTAGTGCATAACTTGCAGAAGTGATATGAACATAAAAAGTGAGCTAATAGCCTGGTCAGCATAGCTCAGTGGTTGAATGTTGACCTGTGAACCGGGAGGTCACGGTTCAATTCCTGGTCAGGGCACAGGCCCGGCTTGCAGGCTCAATCACCGGTGTGGTGTTATCATTGATGTTCCTATCTCTGTCCTCACCCTTCCTCTCTGAAATCAATAAAAATATATTAGAAAAAAAAAAAAAGAGCTAATAGCCCTGGCTCTTGTGGCTCAGTGGGTTGTCTCATACACCCTAAGGTGGGGGTTCAATCCCCGGTCAGCGCACATACCCAGGTTTTGTCTTAAATTCCCTGTTGGGGTCCATGAAAGAGACAACAGATGCCTGTTTCTCTTACATCGATGTTTCTCTCTCCCTCCCTCCCCCCCCCTTCCAATAAATTGAGCTCACCCTAGTTGGTTTGGCTCAGTGGATAGAGCATTGACCCTCAGACTAAAGGGTCCCGAGTTCGAGTCTAGTCAAGGGCACGTACCTCCCGTTGCAGGCTCGATCCCCAGCCCTGAGAGGGTGCGTGCGGAAACAACCGATCCATGTGTCTCTCTTAGATCAATGTTTCTCTCTCTGTGTCTCTCCCTCTCCTTTCCACTCGCTCTAAAAATCAACGGAAAACATCCTCGAGAGAGGATTAGCCAAACAGAACAGAAGAGCTAACAGATGTCAAATGCCGAGGAGAGTGCCTGGGCCCTGGTGAGTGATACACAAAAGTTA